TTTCTTGAGACAACATTGATGTTAACAGTTACGACAAACGAACGTTAATTGAACGTTGACCAGGGAACGGGCACCTGATTCTTTTTTGCATAAATGGTGACCTGGGGTGATTTTTACACCGTGATTAAAAGTCATTGTTATTAATTACAAGTTGCATATTTTTTATTATTCTATAATTTATTAGTACTTGAGAACAATATGTATATAGATTTACTCAACATTTTCTGAAAAAAGTAAGAAGAAATAAAAAAAATATGTAAGAGACGAAAGAAGCACATTAAAATTACTGTGACGTAAGCTTTATTCTTTCGATAACAGAGTGTAAAGATCACCCCAAGCGCTTGTTCTCGGGTTAATGGAGTCGCAAGATTTGCGAACTTTGCAGTCTTCTTTCTAACTGTCGATATGAATACATTTCCGAACTTGCTTATTGTAATAATAACATTGGTGTGGATTCCAAGTATCGGGAGAATTAATATATCGAAGAAAAATTGACAACTTTTATTGTAACAGAAATTGTATTTGTATTGAAAATATTAAGATGTATAAAGGCAAATTTATGCGGAGTTTTTGCGGAGAGAAACGTTTTTATGATTTCTATGCGGATGTGTTTTTTGCAATGGATAAACTGCGAACAGGAAGATACTAAAAGGTACATAAACGCAGAGGGACAGTGAATCATCATTCCACTCGAGAAAAATTCTTCGTGATTTAAAATCACGACGTTATATTTCGCGACAAATTGCGACGATTTGTGTCAAAAAGGAAGAAAGAGAAAAGTAGTATGAACGCTCAAATTATATATAACATATTCTAATGATATATCATACAGTATATATCTTATGAAGAATATATAACTGAATTTGGGATGGAAAATAATAATACATATCTATAGCCATTATACATTATATAATAGTTTTTAACTATTTTACAAAAGTTTCTTAACATTAGAAAAAAGTGATAACAATAAAAAGTTAAAAAATTAACTGGGGAAACTGAACACTATGTTAATATTGTGTGCGTAATGTAATTTATTTTATTCTCTTCGTATGTTTATTATATGTCGTTATCTCATTTAGTTGATTATTACATCGCAATATGGGGGATATAATATATTACGTTACCTGTCACGCAATATTATCGTGAAACGTACATATTTACACGTATTGCGAATCATAGAAGTAATGCAGCGGTGGTACACACGCAGCAATAGAGAAATCATGATGATTTTGAGCGTATTCAGTTTAACAAGGTGCCTAATTGCGCACCTCCGTGCTATTGCGTACGCCACACAAAAGCAGCGGTTAATTAGAATCGTCGACACCGGCGCGTCGTTGCCCTTGGCTTCATCGAACTATTAGCCGCGATCGCGTGTCCGAACGCGACTTGTTTCATTAGCAGATTAGGTTGATTCGTTTATACGCCGACGCGACGACAATTTCGATCAATTAAGTTAATGCACTTGCAGATCCACGTATCTCGAACACGCGAAGCGTGGCTGCGCCTCTTTATTTAACAAACATTTGATACAACAGTAATAAATGGCCAAATAATTGATTAAGCCGTTTGCAAAGATTGAAAAACGAAGTAAGATTATTGTAACAAAACCTAGTTTAAATATTATAGTGTAACTATAATATTGCAAATTAGATAAAAGCAAAATGAAATAAATCATATTCACTTGCGTTTAATGAATTGTCTTAAAATAGCAGTGGCTATGTTATAAATGGTTTTTCTTTAAAATATCAAAATTAGGAGAATTAAAAATAATTTAAAAAATAAGTATATATATATATATATGTATAATAAAATATAAATTTAAAATAAATATATCAATAAGTTATAAATACACATGTTTTGTGCAGAAATTGTCGACATAATCGAGAGACACGATAGTGTCTTGTGTTAATTGTAGGTATACGGCGAGATCGACTCATGTATCTGTGTACACGCGAACCATTCGATTACGAATACCTAAGATTATCTCAAAAACAGCCTAGCTAATCGAGTTTTTAATAGATTTAATGGTAGGTTGGGTTTAAATTATACAATATAAGAAAAGTGTCTTCACACACTTTGTTTACGTATTCTACAAGCGGTGATATATTATAACGCAAAATCTCAATGTAAAAATGTCTACTTAAGAGACGTCTTGGTCGACGTCGATAATTGTACGTTTTTTGACACAATACGACATTCGTAAAGCAAATAGCTTTTCGGTGCGTTGAGAGAAATTATTGGAGAATATTTCCGGCGTCTCCGTGGCAACGCCTCTAACGCGTGACCATTCGAGGTAATGATGTCCTCCGAATACAAAAGAGCAGAAAGCACGTACGGATGAGCTTAGACTTTCGGCCAGCTTTGGCCAGAAGAGAACATATCGCGCTATAATTCTCCGTCTTTTTGCTCTGTCTCGATAATTCAAATGCCAAATTTTGCGCGTTTTATCACGCTTTATCATGTGTTATTTCTAATATGTTCATAATATATTAAAATAAATAAAAATATTTAATATAAAAGAAATAATTTTATGATGTAATAAGAACGGTGATTTAATGATTTTTTCTCGAACATATGTAATGGTGCTATATTTATAATTAAACATTTGTAATTAAACAAGTTACGAAATTTTTTATTTTTAAACATTTTTATTTATTTTAATATATTACAGACATCACATATATTGCAAGTGCGTAGTAAAGCAATTTAGATAATAGAGAAACTTTAAACTTTTATTTTACTTTGCTTACGAAGATGAAAAATTACATTTGTCAAAAAAATGAAGTTGTACTTACACATTGACACAAATTGACATAAATAGTTTGATGAAAATTATAAATTACAAGCTTTTTGTTATATTGAAAATTTTCAATATAATAGAGAGCTTGTAATTATTATCATGAGAATTTTGGATATAATCAATTGAGAATTCGAATATAAGAATTGTGAATAATTTATGTCAACGTGTACAATAATTTTTGAAGGATTATAAGCTGTATTAAAATTGAATTTTATTATTTCTATTTTTATTTTGATAATATCTTTTTTGTGATATTATTTAAAAAAAACAACAAATATGTATTCTTAGACAAACAATAATATTATAATATATTTTTCATGTTAATATTTTTTGCTTTTATATTTTTATATTTTACATAATAAATTATTATACGCTTTTGAAAAGTGCTTGTTGCATTATGCATCTTTTTCTACCTTTTTTTTAAATATAGGTAATTAATATTAACATAATATCCAAGAGTTCATAAATGTTTATAACTATTTAATTTTACATATTGTAATATAAAAATATATATGTTAACACTTTGCAGAGATCTTTTATTATTTGCACTTTGTGATATCGGTCAGTTTTATAGGCACGTCCAATATTTGACATTTTCAACATTTTAACATACTCTCTTTTCTCACGCATATCATTCATGTATGTTGAGGTTTTATCGGCATGAATTATCGATGGAACGTTACCACGAAACGATATTAAAGCCTTGAAAGTCACGAACTTGGAAATAATTCGGATAGCTTAATCGATCCTTTTTTTTCCCTTCAATCTTTAAAACGAAATAAAATCTAACGGCTGAAATGTAGCGCACAATAAAAGTGTTGGATTTTTTTATGAAGGTAGTAAAGGTAAAGAAAGATGGTAAAAAAAAATAGGAACTTTTTATGAGAGACATAGTAAAGTAGTTCAATTTGCCCTTATATTATAGAACTCTACACGTACTTCTTTTATCAGACAAGTGCAATATTCGTTATGTGCATTATTATCTCACGGTATTGAACGAGATCTTATCATTACTTTTTTTTATAATGTTTAAAAATATATTTGACAATATTGCGAGATCAACATTTTTGGACTAAAATATAATAACATAATATTAAACAATACATAGTGATACTATAAATACAAATATTTTTAAAATATAACGGTTTCCAAAAAGTACATTAAATGATTGATTCTACTTTGGCAGTTATATTTTAATTTCTTTAATATATAATGTAACATATATTTTGTTATATTTTAGCAAATAAAATATCAAAGTTTGTTGCGAGGCAAACTATGCATGCAAAGAGATACGTAAACATTAAGTGAACATAATTTTTGACTGTAGAGCACAAACTTCATTATTATGGTATAACTGGATAAATCTTATCGCACTTAATAGTAACATCAAAGATGCTGCTGAAATAATTGAACGGTTGGGCAATATGCACTCTGTTATGACGTAAATTTGGTTCGTGTTCAGACTAAATTATTAATTAAACCTTGCTGCGACTGAAGTGTCCACAATGCAACGTCATACAGTTTAGTTACAGTCCCACGCATTACGATATGAAAGCCCTTTACAGAAGTCAGAACGTATTATATTAATAATTCTCCGTCGGATTCTCCGACGCCGACGTTTGCGATACAGTCAGAATTTATTACTGTGTTGTATACGCGTTGCAAGTAAACGGAATGCCTTTAAGCTACTGATGCTGTAATGTTAATTAATACCTGCAGCAATATGTTCCTTTCTTACGTTTGTACCGAAGCACGTAAAAAGATATTCGTTAGATGAGGAGCAAAATGAGAAGTTTATGCGAATATTTCAATTTGTTATTATTGAAACATTTATTCTTACATATATAATAATTACATACATTTATAATGATTAGAAATTTTATATTAATAAATATTTTAAATTGTACCCTTTTTCAATAAATTAAGACAGTGAATCGTCCATGTTGTTATTTAGAGATAATAGGTATGACAAATGAAAATTTTCACATTGCACATGTGCATCTTGCAATCTTTATTCATCCTTCTATCACGTACACTTGATATTTCCTCGCAATGACTATCGAATATACCGAGTATTTCGCATTCCTCGAATTGTTCTCCATTCAGAAATTCTTTCTCACACACTTTTTCACATTATTTACTTTCACATACGCGATATATGAATATACGACAAAATTGATCTACAATGCTTTTTTTTCAGAGAGTCTCGGCAATACTGCCGGCGACGATGCTGGCGTTAAGGAACTTCAGGAACTTCGCGACAAATACGAGGGGAAGCTAACGTCGTCTCTCTACACAGGAACACTTTGCATCGCCGCTATCTCCTCGCTGATCGCTCTAGGTGCTCTCTGCTTCGCCGACTATCATGTAAGTATCATTAATAATCCTCCTAGTTTCTATTAAAAATATTACTTTTTTCACATTAATCAAACAACAATTAATTGTTGCTTTAAAATAAGGAAAATCTGTCTACAGTTCATTTTTGCTATATTAATCTTTATATTTATCTACTCAGAAAACTTGAGAATTAAAAAAATTAAAATAAAAAGTCTCTCTTTTTCTTTCTTCAAACCTTCGTACTTTCGCTTTTCTGGTAAGTCGTGACTCTTGCTTTGATTTATGATCGAAGAAAATATATTTGAAATACCTCTGTACTAAGCTACGCGAATTTACTACGTCTTTACTCTCACTATTAATCGTTATTTTAGACAATCATTGCTCATTAGCGAGATGTTCAAGTTTTCCTAAGTTGGAGCATTATATTACCTTTCGAGAGCAGAGGTTACAAGATGATGTTCCGAGTTGTAATTAATTTTCAATTAAAACTCTATCTAGTACTCCTTTGTAATGGATCGATATTGGTCCAAGGTGGCTGTCGGTAGCATGCATAGATTCTTCGTCAACCTGTCCTGAAATTGAATCGCAAAGCGTTAACTGAGCCAAGAATTAATACGATGTCGGAGGTGCGGAGGAGAGCCCAGACAACACGAAGACGCTGTTCAAACCGATAGATTCACGAAGAATACATAAAACGTCATGCCTTAGGATTGGATCTGAGGATGGACGGTGTTGATCTTTCCAAGCTATCGCAGGACACGCGAGAAAATTGATAACGTGATTTATCTCAGATCTAAAAGTTCTCCTCGTATTTTATTACGTTAGAACGTAACATAAAAATAGGAAAATTATCGACGAGGCAAATTTATTTCGACATCCGAGAAAAGAAAAAGTTGAACAAAATTATTTTAATAAAAATAGATCCCCCGACAGTGTTTGCGAAAAAAGTTTGACAAGATAACATTCGTTATGCTTATTTGATTTTTATTCATCTATATATTTTTGTTCGTTTCGATATTTTTTATTTCGTTTCACATTTCGTTAATGCAACTTTCTCCGTTAAGTAATTTACAATTTTTAATTTTTTTAGCTTGGTATTGCACACTAAGAAAAATGTTGTAGATGTAAAATTTAAATTACATTAAGTTGAATATTGATATTTAAATATTAAAAGTCATGTAAATAATGTTTAAAAAAGGGGGGAATGCTTTTCTAAACAATCGCACGAATCTGATTGAAAATAAGATCATGAGGATATTGATCTTGTTCTTAATACTTAATACTATTTTTTATTTTTCAGGAGCTGTCCGATGTGACCTATCTTGTACCTGTATCGGCATTGACAACCATGCTCATCGTCTCTTTGACATTTTTAGTGGTCACGCAATTACCTTCCGCCATGGTCTCTAAACGGTCCAAGATTTTAATAGGTTTAACATCCTCCATCATACTTGGTTTAGGAATTCTAATACTAAGAGGCGTCCTACCCTTGTTCGTCTGCATCCTATCAGTAATCGCCATTCTACCTAAAATGAAGTGGCAAACACCGCTTATCATCAGCTGCATTCTGGCCCTCGCACACATTTCGAGAAGACTTATTTTCGACGATCTAACGAGCTATTACGGCATAATTCAGGTAAATATATAGTTGAACGTTGGATAAAATATTTCTCCTAATCGATTGGTTATTGTAAAATAATGAATTATAAGGATTTTTTAAACTTTTTTAATTAATGTTTTTTTTAGTCTAGCCAAAGAATTTTTAATTTAAGTTTTTTGTGATTTATTTATTTAAAGGATAACATAATAAGGCTATTTTAGTTCAATTTAATTCGAGTTTAGGGTACTGAGGCATGGGATTTGCTAGAGGAACTTTGAGTTTTGAGTTCAAGCCTCAGTTTAAATTATGAAATAAAGGATAGAACATGATATAATTCAAAAGCAAAAAGAGAATTATGTAAATTGATGTATTGTACGGAAGTCCATTCAAAGTTGCAAGGCACGGATCTAGTGTTTTTTTAATCATACATATGTATTATACATTTACGTACATAAAACAATAAATATGATACATTTAATAATAATTTTTGAAACCATGTTCTATTATATCACAGAGAACAATTTTAGGAAAAATACCGGAAAAATATTTTTCGATGAATATATACAAACTAGGTATTTTAGAAAGGTATCCTTTTTATCGAACAGATTGTTGCGGAGATCATATTCCTTCTGGCTGCCATCTTCGCAGGCATGTATTACAGGATCCTAACAATGATGGCCCATCGCAAGACTTTTTCCGGGACAAAAACGGTGATCGAATCGCGAATCAAGCTTGAATGCGAGAGGGAGCAGCAGGAACAATTATTGCTCAGCGTTATTCCAGCCTATATTGCGGCAGAGGTGAGCAATAAAAATGTGTCGCTTCGTGATCTAATTAAAATGTTGATTACGATTTATCACGGAAGTATTCGCGTTGAATTTTCGTCGCATGGATATGTAACGATGATAAGGTTTCTCATTGTTAGACTCGTCCAACAATTGATTAACGTTTAATTAAATTTCTGCCTATGACTATATTTTGACTATATTTAATCACAAAACTAATTTAACAAAGTTAAATTCGTGCGAGAGATGAAATATGTAGGCGTTCGCATCTTGTGGAGGCAAATAGTTTTTCAGGAAATAAAGTTATTATAACATAAAAGAAAATAAAAGTTCGCGCGCGCAGTTTTCTAAACAATTGTTGTTTCATCGTACTTTGCATATTATATACTACGATCTGTTTGCAATCACACGATGGATATCGATTTACTATACCGCAATAAAAATTAGATGATGACTTTTGAAGTGCTTTGACGAAAGTAATTAACGATTCGCGTTAAAGTTCTCTGTGAAATTAGACTCAAATTTGTAAAAACTTTACTTTAAATGAGGGTCGGAGAAGATACGCAGTATTTACAGCAAAAATTCTACGTCAGTTATTTGAAACGCGTGGATGGAGCAATCAGTCCGATTTTCTTTGATCACAATAATTACATCTTAAAAAAAAAATATATATTTTTACCAGAGGATTTTATTTCGGTATACAATATTGCATAATATACAGTGAAGGATGATATTATATTTGAGAAGACCTCGTTAAAAACTCCGTTGTTAGAGCTTAATGAGTGTATAAACGTTTTACGTATAATAGATACTCGATACTTCTTTTCATCGCAACAATGCCGAATTTTAACTATTTCTGGTTTGATATATATATATACATATATATATATATATATATATATATATATATACATATATATATAATTTTTGTTATTCGTAAAATTACTACAAGCATATTTTACATTTAAATATAATATACCTATATTATATTTAAATTCGTGTGTAAGAATGTACGAGTTCTAGCAAACTCCGTCTATATTTTTAACAATAAGATTGTTACGAGGACTTGTACAAAATAGAAAAAGGTATATAAAAATGACCGGATAGATTTTACTTCATTAATTTTGCTGTTGTTTTTAAGTTATATTTCCTTATTTGTAATTATTTTTAATAGCACTCGTAATGCAGAGCGAATTGTCCATTTAAATTGATTGCAATTCGGATTTCAATTATTTCCTATCAATGCACATACCGCATGAATCATATAATGATATGTTTACCGGTGACATGAATAATTTATGGTTTCGAATGGGTGAGTTACGTGTTAATCTGCTAATCGGAAAGTATGGAATACGATGTTTTGTTGATGCGATATTCCATAACGCATCACAGAAATTTCCAATGCAACACGTTATAGGGGATATATAAGCACTAATCGAATAATTAATGTAATTGTTACAAAATTACGCAGCTAATAATAATACATAGATGATATTTATACTAAACGAAAAAAAATATTAATCTGTTATCGTAGGTAAAAAGAAGTATAATGCTGAAAATGGCGGATGCTTGTCAGGAAGCCAATAAGCACAAGCAAACCACGTTCCAAGAGATGTATGTACAACGGCATAATAACGTAAGGTAATTTATTATATTTATTATTATTACATTTGTTAAACCTATTAAAATTTATAATATACTAATGATTGTAACGAAACAGATCGCTTACAACGATGTTACAAAATATTTAATGCAAATATTGTTATAAAATATTAATCTGAAGAATATCGTGTATTTTTATTATTGTTATCTAAATAACTTCAAAATAAATAACAATTTTTATTTAGTGAAGGAATTAATTTAAATCGCAATCGCTCTCTGATACTTCTATACAATATTTCGTTAAAATATATATGCAATACTATATAAGCATTTGATGGAATCGATTCACAAAAAGAGAGATAATGTTAAAAATAAGACCGGTTGCGCAAGGTCAAGAGCAGAAATAATTTAATCATAATCAGTGTATTTAGAAGGCACGCGCGTATTTAGTTCTCCCGCGCGAGGATTATATGGGTCGAGGATGATGGCAAGGAATATTGATTGCATTGAAATAAACGCATGCTGCACGTGTCGCACACTGCCTTTGGTCGTCCGTCCTCTATCCATCGATCTAGCCATGCATCTGAATTTAAATCATATGATCGCTCGATTGTGCAGCATCTCCGGATTCAATATTCAATCGAGCGCACTTTAGATGTCGATCCATCAAAGACGAATTTTCAATGCCCCTTTCTTTGACGTACACCCATTAGGAGTTCCTAAGATTAATAAAAGATTATTCCATGCATATTTAAATTTAAATTTTGTATTAAAGTTCTTATTTACTAAGAATGTTTTACCTGTTTTTTTGCTCTGTTTTTTATAGTGTAATTATTAAACTTGAATTAACATTAACGTTCACAAGAACGATTTCAATCTTGTTAAATTGATTTCTGCTTCTGATTTTTCTGCATTTCGTCGAAAAATTTTGCAATACATAAAATTTTATTTTTAAAAACAATATATCTTTGTTGATTGTATAGCATTCTCTACGCGGATATTGTCAACTTTACACCGCTGTCGGAACAGCTCTCAGCTTCCGATCTTGTGAAGACGCTCAACGAGCTCTTTGGCAGATTCGATCAAATAGCGCAGGTAAAAGAAAACATAAAAGTTAATTTAATTTATTTATTTTAATTAAATGTTGGATGTAATTTAAAAGAATAAATTTTCTTATTCAGCAAAACTTTTCCCCAATAGCATAAAAAACATTTTCAATGTCCTACTTGTAAAAACTGCTTTAGATATTTATTGTAAAAAAGAAATTTAATTCTATTAAATTTTATTAATAGAATTAATCCTATTCAATATCATTGTATACCGCGTCTTTTTTACTAATGTAAGTTCAAAATTGCTTATTAAATTTATTTCTGGAATTACTTTTAACGCAAGGTAAATAATCCGATAAAGGGAGAGAACACTGGGTGACCTGCAAAACTAGATTTCTTGCTACGTATATTATCATCAATATTGTCGTCTAACCTAAGGACAGGTCGACTATGGATCCATTAGTGCGAGGTGAATAAAATGTCTGAAACCTTTTACCCTTTACCAACAAGCAGAATATATGATCGCCTATCACTTGTGCAAAGAAGGACATTGAAAGTGTACTTTCAATTTGTACGAGAATAATATTCACATTTCAAATTCTCAAATTTAATAAAATTCGTTCAATAAAAATTGTTCTGTAAAATGTGCAAACATTTGAGTTTGGTATAATGGTTATTCTACATAGAAGTCGTAGTCGTGAGTTGTAAGAAATTGACCAATCACAGATTGAATATTCTCCTCAACTTCGAATGTGATTGGTCAATTTCTTACAACTCACGATTACGACTTCTATGTAGAATAACCTTAACACTAATGTTACAAAATTTCTAGCATGAGGAGAGATTTTTTAATTTTAGTTATAGGGAAAATTATTTTACTTATACAATATAATTGTTGAAAGCTTCAACTTGAAATTGAAGAAAAGTTTGTTATGTTAAACGTGACAATTTAAAAAAATTATTCAGTATTTATTTGCAGAATATTTCTGATTTTTGTTTGCGCGTATTTATTTCCTTTTAACGATTCAAATACAATGTTTTTCAGCAACGAACAAATTGAATTTTAGTCCGTCAATATACTTTTAAATCCGAGTTCCTCGTTGACTAAATAAATTTCTGGGCTTGTGACTCAGCGTAACTAAATCTAAAAAAAACATGGAACATTTGCCTTTTCAGAAGTATAGCAATTTTATTTGTTTTACTCGTGCACTATGTTTACGATAATATGTTGCAATGATATTCAGTTAAATGCCTAGCTTTATCTAATAGTCAAAGTGAGAAACAATAAAAATTATAAAAAATATATAAAATTTGCAAAACAGTTATTTTAAACACTGATATAGAAACTCATATAGAATGATTAAAATTATTATATAAAATATCTTACAATTCGTCTACAATTCTTAATTTTCAAAACACATTTACAATTTTAATTTCGCTAGAAAGTTGAAAGTCGGAGATTTACTTTAATTGCAACCAAGATTTCTTATGGTTACCAAAAAGTTTTGTTTTATTAACAAATGTAGTTTTTCTGTAAAATTACAACTAATCTCATAAAACTCATTTAAAGTGAAATATGTTTAAAAATTTTTTATTTTAGTTACTATTCGAACAATATTCGAATTCCTATAATAAACTGTATATAAAACGTTTTGCATTTTTTTGCGAAAATATAACGCTAAAAGAGATACGTTTTATTTGTTATAAAAAAAACAGGAGTGTGAGGATAAATGAAAGAAGATAAATTTAAAAAACAAAGTATTTGCAATATATTTGATGAAATTCATAGAAATTGCCGAATTTTATAAAAATAATAGAGAGAGATAACTTTGATCAAAAATAATAAATATAAAAGATCGCAAAAAATGTGATGTGCGCGGTTTTTTCGACAAATATTAAATATCGTTCAATCAAGCCACACGTGATATAGTGCAATGAAGATAAAAGGTTTCTTTCGAACATTTGATTCGCAAAAATGTGCGCGCAATTTCTTTCTTGCTAACGACTATCTCCTTTTTTTTTTCTTTATCTAGACCATCGATTATTCTATCTCGCGCAAATTTTATTTACATGAAAAATCGAATATGTAAAGTAAACGCATTAGCTAATGAAATGCTCAATATAATAAAAATAAAAATTGAAATCTTCGCAATATCGCAACATAAATCTTTATCATTTTCAATAAAAGTCGACGGTTTATTGATATGTAAAATTTAAGGTTACGCGCAGAAAAATGATTGTGAAGAAAAATGTTGCATTCTAATAGGACAGGAGATAAACTGAATCTAAATACGCAAGATGATGAGAAACATAGTTTGTTTCATATCGTCACGTACATTTTCACTCGTTTTTTTTTCGATTTTCCGCAAACTGCGAAAAAAGAGTAGTTTTAAACTTAAATTGATATAATAACAACCTAATAAAGCTATGGAGGGAGACAGAGTCCTATACAATATTGTGCGCCCTTGTGTTCATAATCGGATGCCGCTTTATATTCTTTCTCTTGGTAAAGAAAAAGCACAAACTTCTACGTTACGCTACGTTAGCGCGGAAAATTGCTTTTAGAACGACAATAAAACACAATGATTAAGCTTGAGTTTGTTAATTCCCGAGTTCTAGAGAAATCGGTGTTTTGTCAGCGCCTTTAGAGTAAGTAAAAAACTTATAATCGCTTTGTTGAAATATCTTTGTAATATATATATATATATACTTTTAACAGGACTTACAGCGACTTTTCACGTTTGATAGAATGTAAAATATTTTCATCACGAATCAGTACATTTAAATTTATATGAATAAAGAGGGACGCTCAATATATACACTCCATCTCCCATCTCCTTCCAGAGCTTTATTAGTTTGCAGCTATATTAACCTAACTTATAACTACTCTTTTCGCAACGGAAAATCAAAAGAACGAGTAAAAATGATAGCATAAAATAAACTATGTTTCTCATCTAGCTTTTTTAAATTCAAATCATCCTATTAAAATACAAAATTTTTTTTTACAATTATTTTTTTTACTTTAAAAAGAGGATTTATGCGATATTATGAAAATTTTATCTTTAATTTTTAATTTTATTATTAAATATTTTGTTAATCAATACGTTTACTTTACATATTCAATTTTGCATGAAATTTGATTTAATAAGTGGTTTCAATGTTATTTGCACCAATTGTTAATTTTTGGTTGCGTTAATATTTATCAATTTCCACCGTTCTCTTTATCAGTTCCCTATTGAAAATTATATTTGCAAACAAATCAACATTTCGACATTAGCTTTGGTAACTCATCAAAGCTAATATCGATGAACAAATACGCAGAACATATACATTTCCAACGAGAGAAGAAGGTCAAAGCATGAAGCCGCAAGCGGACGGATTTTAAAACTCGAGTTTCATTTATTTTTCAATCCGCTCTCGCAACCGCAACATTGCTACCGCCACCACCGTTATCGATCACGAGATTTTAGGAATTGTTTATAAAGCTGAACATTTGCTCGAGGAGAAAGCTCCGGGAAACTTGCTAAATTTCGTTTGCCGTGGGCCAGATTGCAAACGCCAAGGCCTCCAGCTTTACGGCGTCGCATAATTCGCTTTTATAGCGGCCGGAGGGACTTTACGGCGTTACCGGAGCGCGGCATGAATCCAACAATATGATCCAGCGCACGCTGTGATCGTCTCGCAAAACGTCTTCCTTTTACCACGAACTTGCGAATGTCGTTCCCGCGCTAGTTAACCCGCTGACCGAGCGGGAAAACCGAGCAACTGACATACACAGTTTGGATCACTCGACTCGTTTACCTTGAGCAATTATTTGCGGTTTGTCGGTTTTATATGCGATTCCAAATTCCAACAACGCCCGCTTCATGGATAATTTTGTATATATATTGATTTCTGATGAAAACATTTTACATTCTATCAGCTGAAGAAGTTCCTGTAAAATACAAAGTTCATACAGGACAGCTTTTTTTAGTCACACTAAAAAAAGCTGAGGTGATTTTGATATATCCCTTAAATTACTTGAAATATTAATAAATATATTTATTTATTATATAGATATGTAAAAGTAAAAAAAAACTTCTAGATCGCCATCGTAATAATGACGAGGACATTGCATGCTGATCGATGATGAGAATTATGCGAATAAATTCCGCATTCCGTCTTAAGGAATCTCATAGTGTTCACGTCATATTAGTAGTGGTTATTTCCGTAATCTTTTGATCGACAGAAAAACAGAGTAACAAAATTTTTCAAATTTAATTTTGTCCTGCCGGCTAAACTCGAATTTATCGACGCTGATTTCAGTCTCAGATACGCGCAACACATAATAATCTTATACTCTCCGTAACTTCTTCTTTCTTAAATTACGTGTAATGCCATGTAATTGTCGAGTTTCGGCAATAAATTGTAATCTGCGAACAACAGATTGTTCCACGTTGTAGTAGAAATTATAGGAGAATCTCATTACAAAGTTATTGCAAAGTTATTACGTAGTCGAAATCTTTTAAGCCAAATTTATGTGCTGAAATTTTGCCATGTTTCCTTATGCAATAAAAAATTGAATAAAATAAATGTCGTAAGAATCTCATAGATATAGTGATATTAATATAAAAATATTTTATTCTTAAAAGAATTTAGAAGATTCACTTTTTATTTTTAACTTCACGATTTATTTTTTAGTATAACTGCAGTAATTGCAGTATAATAAAAAAGATTACATTTTGAAAGCTATACGTCGATATAATTTTTTTAAATTCAATTTTAAATAGAGAACTGTCGAATAAATTGACAATAGAGACTCTATTGTGTCAAAGTTATTACCATTCGAAAAATTCAATCAATTTGTAAAATCGGTCCGTAAAATCAAATACAAAAGCAATCATATTCTGCAAACATTTTTAATCTAAACATACTTTTGCAACAGTTGGAAACATTTATTCACAACACGTTTCGCAAAGTTAAACGTAGTATTACGGTCAATATAAATTGTAATTGTAAATTGCAAATTGTAAAAATAATTAAGAGCCCGAGAGAACAAAAAAGTTAATCGTTCTAGAATTTCTTTATAAAAATCTCTGTGTGAAAATAAATGAAATATTGTTTTATTGATATAATATTAAATAGTAATGATAGCAATAATAAATCGAAAATATCTGGAGATGGTTTTGTATTTTTTTTTGTTTGCTCGATATGGCACTGGGAACAAGTAGCAATCTAATTTCTTTCGGTTTGTATAATAATTCTCGTGGTAATTCTTTTGATTGCTCAATAACATTCTACTGATAATGAGTTTCACGGTCCACAAAGTCGGATTAGATAAGAGAAGGGAAAAGGTAGAAAATCGGGGAAGAAACGTCACATAAATACACGAATAAATTAATGATGCGGAAAATGAAGGAGGAAGACAATGCCTTTACCGGCGACAAATTTCTTATAGCTTCGAATCAATCGTTATGTCAAAGATAACATCGGAAAGTAATCCTTTTTGCAATTTTTCTTACAATCTCGTATTAATTCCATGTTTTATCGATATTTGTTACAACAAAACGCCATCTTACGCTTTGTAAAATATTATTCGGCAATTCGAAATTTATTTGTTTCTACATTTATTAAAGTAAATCCAAGAGAAATTCTACCGAGTTTCTTCCTCTCAGATTCTGCGAAATATCTCCGCAGCTGCAACAAAATTAAAGTCTCGCGACATTAGACTTGAACTGAAGTCTTCTCGGATCAGTTATCTGGAGTATTCTCCAGAGTGCTTTAGACGGTGGAAACTGGATCCTCCTTTTTGAACTCGATCTGATATTAGGTCCCAACTAAATCGGATCTTAATTAGCTCAATTAAGGTCAGATCAAGCTCAAGTGTCAGATATGAATATAAGTTAGCTGTATAGCGCGACATTTTTTTTTATATATAACGATGTAACACAAGCCGAGTAAACTTTCAAGTTTCATTCTTCATATTTTGAATCTTGCGAAAGTATTTTATCGCAATAAGAATAGCGGCATACGTCACATAGACATCGATAGATGTTTTCGAACTAGCTTCCGATTTCTCGCGCTTTTGCTTCTGCCTCGCGCGCCGTTCGCAATTGAATTCGGGAAATGTGCGATATTTCGCGACAGGCAAACAACGATGCCGCAGATGGAAAAACTTTATTCCATTTGTGCGTGGGTGAAATATATACGATGCTATCCAAAGCTTCGACGGGAATGCCTCTGTCTACTCTTTGCCTTTCTAGCATATTTATCTTCGCAAACATATCGCCGCAGAGATATTTCGATCTATCCGAATAAGGAAAAGGAGATAAAGCAATAGACTCAAAGAGACTATTAATGAACAAGTTTTACAATATGCTCTCATAATTAATAACTTTTATGGTAAAAATAAATATTTATAATAAAACGCCGATATGCGGAAAATAAAAGAATTTATTGGTACTTAATAATACATATTGTTGCACACGCATAAATTATCCAACATTTGCACGCAACCTTAATTAAATCGGTAGTAAAATGCTAATTAAATGAATATTGCAATGAATAAAAACGACGTTACGTAGGTGATCAAAATTTATAAATTTTCATATAAATGCTAATGGATGGCTTACGCAAATGGAGTATTTAGATACCGCCTTGAAACTAATCATAATTGCGATATGAAGAATTATGGATCCTGTTTTGACGATTTATATCAATAAAGGGCTGCTACAACGTAAATTTATGTGGAATTATTATTATTTCACGTTTCGCGTTGTAATAAAAATTCTTGCGTTGAATAAAATATGAAGACTATATCACATAATAAGAATATAAGGTATGTAAATTGCATGGAATGTAAATATACAGAATATTCTGTAAAAATTACTGAAGGATTAAATATGATAAAAATAAAGAAAAATTACAAAAAAGTACATAATTCCTTAGTCTCTCTGCTATCTTAATTTTCCGCTTTCTGTAATTGTCTGGAGTTAAATAAAATTAATATTTTCTTTAGGGTATTTAACCCTTAAGACTCCAACGTCGAGCTAGACTCGACATGAAATTTTTATATATACTCTCTTCTGTATCTTTTAATTAAAAGTATATTTTATGTTTGTTATATGATTCAACATCATTTATACTATATCAATATTTTATTTTGTATAAAGTTGTGCAGTTTAGCTTGCTACCTGGGTAAATATTTAATAAATTTCAATTTTTGGCGTCTAAATTTAATACGAGAGGAAATTGCTTCCTTTCCTATGAAAAAAAAGCCTAGACTTATTTATTCAGAAAAATGCTTCAAGCAATATCATACGTTATTAAAGTTTAAACAAGATGTAATAAATGTAATAAATTATTTCTTAAATATAAAGTAATATAAAGTATTGATTATAAAATATTCAATATATTTTTTACTTGTTATAAAAAATACACCTAAAATTTTTATTGCAGAATCTTTCTATTTTTATTTAAAACTGGCGGAGCAAAATGTGAAGTTTGTTACAGAGCGCAAAGGGTTGATAATAAATTAATTCATGACTTTCAGGACAATCAGTGTATGAGGATCAAAATTTTGGGCGACTGTTACTATTGCGTTTCCGGGCTTCCGGTTTCCCGTCCGAATCACGCTTACAACTGTGTAAATATGGGACTGCAAATGATTGATGCCATCAGGTGAGGGCCAAATGAAATACTAAAATTACATTTACTAACGAGCGCGTGCTCGTTAGTTACATACGCTTTTCTCTATCTATTTTTCTAAATTGTTGCCTGGAGCTTAATAGGATGAAAAAAGGAAATATAATTGCTACATTACTTTATGCGCAAAAGAGTTTACAAAAAAAAAGGAAACTCTTTATGAAAGCATTGCACGTAGAATATTGCGTAGAATATATCATATTAATAAAGTTCTTTCTTCTTGCTTCTCATTTTTCTCCCATTCAATATGTACAATGACGCTAATAATTATTAGATAAAGAGAATATTTCAGAGCTTTTATAATTATAAATTAATTTGCACAGTACTAATGATTTCAGTAACTCACTCACAATGAATCGAGGAAAATTATGAAGAAAAAAATTTGAATTTTATTCGAAATTTGAAATAAAGACGAAAGTAGGAAAGCATATATAATATCTTTATATCAAATTTCTATTATTCTATAGCTATAACATCATCATCAGTAGTTGAAAATTTAACACTCTCGCATACCTCTGCTCAATCGTGTATTACGCTTTAATAATCACAGGACTTGTGTGTGCTTTGTCGATGGCATCGTTCCCGGCATCGAAATGGATTGCTCATCGGTGATTAGAGGATTATAGGATTAGTACAATACCGCATAGTTTATGTGTAGACATTAATTACAGAACAATATATGGATCAAAAGCCCGGCCAACCGTTGCTTATTATCCTCGATAGTTTTAAGAACTCTATTCTTAAAAACGTATGTTCATTATTTTTCAATATAACATATTTGTCATTTTATTACACTCTATTAACGATCTCTTGTGTATCGAGTTAAAAATTACTTCTTTTTTGTAATTCTTTGAATTGGCACTTAAATAGTCTCTAAAATTAATTCTAATTGCTATATTAAATAAAGATTGCTCTTTTTGCCAGATTACACATCGCGATCAAATAATTTTTTAAAAAATTTTAGAATTTACGTAAATTTATATTTTTTTTCCCGTAATATATTAGCATTTTTATCTCAAGTTTACACCGAGCCTACTGTTTCTCAACAAATAGAATCCAAGATTGGATAATTGTTAAGTTTAACGGATGGTGTGCAGCGAGAGAGTGTAGGAGCGACAAGTGCACGTATAAAAGCAGGGCAAATGAGAGTATTCTCGAATTGTATCTCGTCGCACGTAGGTTTGTCCGCGAGGCCACCGGCTTTAACGTCGACATGAGGATAGGAATTCACACAGGGAACGTGCTGTGCGGAGTACTCGGTCTGCGGAAATGGCAATTCGACGTGTGGAGCGACGACGTGACCTTGGCCAATCACATGGAGAGCGGCGGTCTGCCAGGGTAAGACGATTCACCCCACTGTGGCTCTGTCAATCTGTATTCCTCTCTATGGTTCTCACCTCTACCGCATTGCAATACGTACAATTCTACCGTAGATTATGTGCAGAACAAATTACTCTATCACTTTCTGCGGAATACTGAACGTTAGCATTTGAGAATGTTGGCATTTATTTTTCTTGCGCAAAAAAAACACAAAAAAAAACACTGATATATAACAATTTATAACTCTTTGTCTAACTAATTTTTATTTGTATGGTGCTTCGAACTTGCAAAAAATACAGGCTACTTTTATTGTTGCATAATATTAAATATAATTATAATGCGATTTTGATGCGTCTTATTACGAAGGACATTAATGATCGCTCTTTTTTACAATAATAAATTATTTCACGTAAACAATTAGAAAATAATTATTTTTTAAATTCTATTACAAAGAATTTTCTTTTTTCAATTTTAAGGAGGGTTCACATAACAAAGGCTACTTTACTACAACTGGGCGATCGGTTTGAGGTCGAGCCAGGCGACGGAGGATCTCGAGAGAGTTATCTTGCTCAGCATAAGATAGAGACTTTTCTTATCGTGCCGCCCCAGGTGAGTAAAAGCTTGCTAAAAGTCCATTATCGCTTAAAATGTTTTCGCAAAAACATTAACATCCGCTCGTCGCCTATTCAGATTCTTAATTAGGAGTAGTACTGTTTAACTCGTGCTGCTTAATTCTCCACTTTACGGCATCGCCGAAGGGAAAACACAGACATCCGATCTATCCTCATTTGCTATAGCAATAAACATTTTATCTTCATCGGTGCTAATTAAAGAGATTGAGGGCGAAAATCAAATTAAAGAGCAATTTGTCGTAGCAGTAGCACGTAATTTATATTTAAAAAGAATAATTACTTTTTAGATTGCTTCATAGAATGTGTTTTTCTCACTGGGGGAAAACAAATATAAATAATGTAATATATTTTGCGACGTAAAAATTGCTGAGAAAATTATGCGACTCTTAAACACATTTTTTTGTATATCGTAAACAATGTTAAATAATTTCTCTAATATCCGAAAATTTTTACAATCTAATTTGTCTATTTTATTATATAATTGTTAGAATTTTATATTTTATAAAATGATGTAAATGCTCTTTAACTTTTTGCAAAAAAGAGCTCAAGCAAACGAACAATGGCTTGCTTCATGAAAAGGAACAGAAGATCCGCGTTAATACCATCAATTAATCTACCACAAAGTGATGATAAAGTTCACCCATGAAACAGGAAATCCGAGTAAATTAAGCCGCGTCTTATTTCTACATAAACGAAGTTGGGATCGTAATGTTCCGTTTATCGCCTCAATAAATATCTCGACAGAAGCTCGTTAAAAACTTATTTAAAAGCTCGCTAAATCGCGCTTTCCCTTCCGCGTATTTATTCACGTCTCTTTATTTTTCGGAGATGCTTCTTTCTTCCGAATATAGAAATTATAATTGTATGAACTTAATTTTCTTCCGCGTAATGAAAATCCTTCATCTCGAGGAGAATTCTTCATTGTAATAACTGAAACTTCGCTTTTATCGTAGAAACATTTATATTATACTTTGTGCAAAGACACGTGTTTAATATCAGTGACAGTGATTGATGGTTGCTTGAAATTCATTCGTTAAATCTTCCATTAAGGAATTCTCTCAGATATTCTGTAGATAATCTTTTTGTGAAAATAAGTAATTTAATCTCATTTTTTTAAATATTCAAAATAATATTTTCTGACAAGAACTTTAACACACACACACACACACACACAGTTGCGCGTTAAATAGAGAATTATATCTTGATGTCTAGGAAATGTAAATTTTTTTATAATTTTTACTTTCCATAGAAAAATCGAGAGGAAAATGGAATGGAAAACGGTGGAAATCGTATACTGGGATCTGGACCAGTACCTTCCAGGTATGTTTGTTACATAACTTTGTTTAATTCGTACAGTTCTTGTCAAATATTAACATTTATGCAAAAATGTCAATTTAATGTGAGTCGCAACAGTAACATTATAATAAAAAATTTTTAATCTAAAGCTTTAATTGTTAATGTATATTTTTAATTTTATGATTAATTAAATAGAAAATTGATAAATAAAATAAAATAATAAACTAAATGATAAATAAAATAAAAATAGAATAAAATAAATGATAAATATTTTATAATAGATCGAGACCTAGTAGCAAAATGACGAAATACGTGGAATGTTGGGGTGCCGACAAGCCTTTCGCTAATATAGCGGAAGCAACCTTAGCGAAAAATATTGGCCTAACAGTAAGCTATTATTTATCTATTTTTCTATAAATAGTTTTAACAAAATAATTAAAATATACTTATTTTATTTCGACAGAGCATCGCAATGATCGAATCGAATCTGTTGGCAAACAATTCCAACTGCTTTGATACACAGTGAGTGTACACATGATACACATATAATTACTTAAATTATATCAATATCATATCAATTAAAAATTTAGAAAATTATGCATTTGACATTGCGTTAATATCACGCAATCGAGTTTAATCACTAATGGCTTAATGATTTAATAACAATTATATCACTCTTCTGTCCGTACATGGTATGCATGTTGCTATTATGAAAATTGATTAATCACTTTAATATACTTTTTAGAATAAATATAATTTTTTAAAGCGACAGACAAGAATCAAGCTCGTATTAAGTCAAATATGTAATTTACAATATAGAAATTTTTTCGGTTTTTATGTATAATGTTAGACACTGGTGCGGCGGAAGTGAAGGACTTTCGCCTTTTACTTATTGGTTCAAAGAGAAGAATCAAGAGCAGCTGTATCGAGAGCAAAGGGATGAGCAATACCTTTGGTACGTTGTGGCCTCCAATGTGGTTTACACAATGATGTTCTGCATTCAAATCATCTATCTACCAAGGTGAATTACGATTTAATCGAATATTTGATATTTGAGTCAGTTAATTCTCTTTCTCTCTCTCTTTACTCTATCACTCTAATATCTTAATGTTATTATTTGTAAAATTAATATCAATATATTTTTACAAAATAAAATTATTGTCATGTGACTTATCTTTTTAATATAAAATAAAACTGTTATATCATATTATATCATAAAATAAAACTATTATATTGTTAGTATTTATTTATCTAATTAGGTACCTTCTTTTATTTATATAATTCGATTTAGCAGTCTTAAATTAATGAAATGTTTTAGCAATTAAATTATCAATCTCTAAACGTAAACAAATGAAAGGTATATTTCTATTTAATAATAATTTAAAAATCAATTTTGTCTTTTATTTCCACAGAAGCATTATAGTTTACGGTTGCTTCGCAGCTGGTTTAGCATCCCTAATTATATTTGCCGCAATTTCGTGGTTCAGTGGAAAAGCTGACTCTAAAAATACTGAAGAAACAACGAATCAAATCGCGCTTAGCCGCGGTATCAGAATAACTGTGTATTTGATAACGGCACTATTAGCCATCGCATCATCAGTCATTAGTCTGATCGAAGTTGATCTCAATGCCGAACACAATATTATACCAGTGCGTATGTCTTAAATTATTTGATAGATTATTTCACATGTTATTTTATTTAAAAAAATATATATAGGACAACATTCAGCAAATGCTTTTTCATGCTTAAATAAATCGTTATTACACTTAAAATCTAAGTATTGGCATTAAATCTAGAAATCTGATTAATATTAATATTAAAAATCAAAATTAAAATTTCCAGGTGTATATATATTCTCCAGTAATAGCGTTAGTAGTTGGCTGGACACACTTGAGAGTCGATTTTTTGTTGAAGCTAGGCGTAATGCTTCTATCCGTTGCCATAATACTCGTGATCTTCTCTCAAGCACCGGTAATCCAACTGTATTATGACAACCCTGACGCTAAGTAAGTGAGGCGCTCTGAAAATTCGAGCGATGCATGTATTATAAATCGCAAGCTCTGGAAAGTCTTGCAATGTTACGGAAGCTACATTTTCGCAGGTTTTACGGCGTCCATTACCTAATGCAAGTGGGATATTTACTGGTTCTCGTCAGCCTGATACTTCACATTCTCGACAGACAAGTGGAATATACATCCAGGATGGATATTCTATGGAAGAGCAAGTTGATGGTCGAGCAGGACGAAGTGGAAACCATGAGAGGCATCAACAAGATTCTCTTGGAGAACATTCTTCCAGCGCACGTGGCTGATCATTTTTTAGCTACAAGAGCTATGCAGGTCAGCTCTTAAAACTTTGATGTTCGGAGTTATTTTCCTCGTATAATATTTAATAAATTAATTCACTAAAAAGTGATTATCTTGATAAATCTAATTTATATACCGTAATTATTGAAATTTGCACTTTTCAATATTAATCATGACACATGATAATCGATAAGCATTTAAATTGATTATATGTTATTCGCATACAAATGTACTTATTAGTAATTTAGTAATATGCTAATTTGATACTCGCATCGTTGCACATGCATTATCCACTTTGATCCACGCAAGTACTGTATGTTAATTTTTTTTTAACACTTATTTAAATACATTCAGAAATTATTTTATATAGATTGAAATATGCAAAACACAATTTGTAGCTCTTTTTTAAAAATTATTTAATATTTTGATCATTTTCACGCGCACCTATATATTTTCTTAATAATACAAATGTATAATGATTGAAATAAAAGAAAATTAGATAATCATTGTCTTCTAACTAACAGGAACTCTATCACGAGAGATATAGCAGCATCGCTGTAATGTTCGCGTCGATTCCGAATTACAAGGAATTTTATGACGAAACCGACATAAACAAGCAAGGTCTCGAGTGTCTGCGTCTACTTAACGAGATCATTTGTGACTTCGACAAGCTCCTACTCAAGCCGAAGTTCTCGGGAATCGAAAAGATCAAGACGATAGGTAGTACTTACATGTTAGCATCCGGTCTGAGCCCAGGAAAGGAGGACGGTGATGGCAAGGTAAAATCATAAAATTAAACTCTAGAGACAAAATTAACTTATCTGATTTCTTGAGCAACTTGTTCTGTTTATAAAGAAATTTCGTAATATTTAATATAAATATTTATTCTTCTTAATCTAATTTGAAAAGCCAGTTGAATAAATATCTGTAATTTTGCATAAAATAACATGTACGTGTGTATGTGTGTGCGCGCGCGCGTTGAAAAAATTTTTAATTATTTTTTTATTCTAATGAAGAAAATTGTCGAAATAATATCATTCTTTATCCGTTTTATGTAGGATCTACTAAAGCAACGAGATCATAATGTAATTGTACTCGTCGAGTTTGCCATCGCGCTTATGACCATTCTGGATCAGATCAACAGGGATTCTTTCCAGAGATTCAAATTGAGAATAGGTAGGACTTATCACTAACGCTATTATTGTTAAATTCTTTTTACCAAAATATTTTTTTATATTTAAACATTTTTAATAAGAAATAGAAGTATTTTAAATAATAAACAATTGCGTAATAAATTACATATATATTCTTGTCAATTGTCCCTTTAGCTCTCTCTGTGAAATAAATAAATGATCAAATACTTATGTTAATCGCAGGCTTAAATCACGGTCCGGTGATAGCGGGCGTTGTAGGTGCGCAGAAGCCGCAATATGACATTTGGGGAAACACGGTGAATGTGGCTTCCAGGATGGACACTTGCGGTGAAATGGGCAAGCTCCAAGTCACCGAGGACACTGCCAAGATCCTCATCGACGCCGGATATGAGCTCGTTTGTCGAGGACCGACATACGTGAAGGGCAAAGGAACCCTTACCACGTACTTCGTGAAGACACCCTTCGACGATAAGGGGGACAGCTATTAGCAATGAATCGGAATGGTTTAGATAATCATACTTTATCTTGTGATCGAGAAAGATTTTTTTTCCATTATCGATTCTTATGGGTCTGAATACCTCACGAAAAAGTGTGAAACGTTGCAGAGAATAGAATTTCGTTTAAGTCGCTTAAAAAGATGATCAAAACCAAGTAATTTCAGAATTTTAACGATTAGTCTATCTGTGGATGTTTACTCATTTAACTCGTAAAATAAGATCTTAACTTCGCTGGAAAAAGTTACATCTTTTTTATCGTTTAACTTAAACATTGAAATATTTGTAATGTACTCAATATAATAATAATTTCATTCTTTGCTGTTCGTTATGTGTTAAAAAATGAATAATGATACATGTGCGATAAGAATGCAAATGTTTAGAATTACTATAATCTCTCGATGTTTATTTGTTGTATTTAAAAGAAAGTGAGAAAGTGGCATAAATAATAATTATTTTTGGGAATTAGAAATTTTATGTATCAAACTTCAGAGACAAGGCAAATGATGATTTTACATACATGTTTTTTTACAAAATATACCACAAGATCGTTGCGAAAAAATTTGAAACACCGACTCAATAAACTTTTAACTTATGACAAGTAATAATAAGTATCGTTACAACGTACCTGTTCAAGTAGATTATCTGTATATATACAATATATGTATATCTTCTTCATAACATCTTGGCAGATGTGTCGTGACAATTGTTCAGCTTTGATAATAGCTCATGAGTTCTAATGAGAAAGTAAATAAGCACAGTAGTTTTTGTCCTTGCTCTCTGTGTTTTATATTCTGCCGCTCATTATGGGAGCTGTTGTTGCACTTTATGCAGATTACGAATTTAAAATCCATTTATGCGGGATGAGGGATTGAACCCGAGAAATTCTTCCGGGAAATCCGTCAATTACGAGTCCGCTGTCACGTCCCGGACATCTCATACACATATACATAGACATGCCATAAATTATGTTCCTAAGAAAATTGAATTTATTTCATAAAAGCAGTATGAAATGTATACTTATTTTATTGATTTGACCAATCATAATAATTTTAGTTATCAAATAAATTTATTTTTCTTAGCAACAGAATTTGTAACACAACTATATGTACATAAATACATACTTGTATATGATTAATTCTTTTTGAGAGCTACGACAAATCAATTTCGACGGACAATCTCCATTGAGAGAAACAACGAGAATGTCTCAATCAGTCTCGATACCTAATATATATACATATCCAATATACGATATTGCTTTATACGGCCAGCATTTACTTATTATCTGTCTTCACAGTTCGAAAATATTGCGAACATGGCTATGTGATTAAAAATACGATTAGAAGTTCATCCCGATTGTCATCATTAGAGGATAAGGAACATAAGTTCCGTTTTACAGAATGTTAATAAACGTTTAATTATTTATAAATAATCAAATTGTTCTTAATTAAATATCTAAGTTTGTATAAAATAAATAAAAAAAACTATGTGATTTCTTTTAAATACCAAGTATGTATTTTTTCTTCAAGAAAAATTTAATTTGTATGCGGTATAATTGCAATTGATTGAAGTAATATGAAATTTCTGAATTTTTTTATGTCAATGAGATTTGATGAAGAAAAGAAGGAAGATGTAAGAGAAAGAAACAAAACGACGACAAGATTGAAACATGATGGATTATTTTAATATCAGATGTAAAGAAAATAGAAACAATGACATTAGAAGTAGAATAGTTTTTATAGCATCGTAGTTTATGGTTTAATAGCACGAGCCTTGGTTCTGCAAGCACCACTCAGGTGTTAAGCTGTCCGAGTAGATTTTTCGTTCGACGAGTCTCTCGCGATGCCTCAATATTCTCTGTTCAGCATGATGCCACTTGGAATCCGGCTCGCTCCACAATCTTTCAGCCATCGCAGCCGATCTTGGCCACAATCTCGAATCAATATTAGAGCTGCCCGCCTGTTCGGTCCAAAGCGCTGCTTCTCCACCTATGAAAAAAAAAAATACGTAGCAAATTAGATGATCAATTAAATTGTAATTATTTAGCATTTTAGCACATCAATGTTATGAACCGGATGTTAATGAATTTATAAGTTCAACAAATCTGTACTTCATATTTCTCTGTTAAATTTGTTTTAACTAACATGTCTTAAGAATATTCTTTTGCATAATAGCCCTAAATTTTGCTCTTCGAGAAGATCTTTGGGGTGACGCATGGCTCCGCGCTAACGCGGATAATTACTAAACTGAAGGGTCCCGGGTTCGATCCCGGCCCGGCCTTCATCCCACATTTTCCTCGTTTAGTCGTTTAACAACTGACATCCCCCGATTAAGGTAGTTTAAGAGAAAATATATCCTCGCTTAAGAGGAGGTTTGATAAATATTTTTGTTCTTTTTTAACATAAGTAATATTTCAAAATGTTTATCAGATAAACAGTTTGTTCTTTTTTTTCTATGGCCTTTTCTACAAGTATGTGATTTTGCTTCTGAATGTCGAAATAATTGTGTATAATTTATATCAAAAATTGAATTTATCAATTTTTGAGCAAATATCATTTAGAAATTTTATTCTGACAACACCGCTGCGTTATGGTGCATTATCTTAATGCAATTATTGTGAAATTTCTCTCCATTTCATGATATAATTATTGTACAATATTTGGGCAATTTTCTTATCGGGGAAAGTACTAATAAAATTTTAATAAAGAATTTGCCTAGAATAAGATGTTTCTTATTCCCATATCCGTGTTGCTTGATCATCTCTAATGGAGAATTTTCATAGATCTTTTGCCAACCCTTGTACGGCGAGCACCAATTGTTACCCTCGCCTATCCAAGCTCCGAATCTATATACGAGAAGAGGGAAAACATAATTAATACTTATTTCTAAGAAGATTTAATATATGTTTATAAAATATATTTAGCGCGACTGATACACGTACTTATTAATGCTAATTTTTTATCTACACACAGTCAAATACTTGATACACATTACGGTTTGTAGTAAAATAGATAAATATGCAACGCTATATTCCATAATGTTTTCTCACCCACAGTCAAGGTACAAAGCATCGTAATTTGAGAAAATAATCTTGAAGTCGTTTCGCAACAGTCTGCCGATAGTTGGGTCGTCTCTGGTCGTCCAAATCTGAATGATATATTTCGCAGGATCCAGATGTTCAATGTTCTCCTCGCTCGTCAATCCGCTGGTCCACAGGACAGTCGTAATGTTCTTGCCGCCGTTGGCAATCTTCAGCTTCTCCAGAGCTCTGTCCTGGAAGTAATCCCACAATCGGTAGAAACTGGTTTCGTTAAGATCCCATCCCCTCTTCAGCATCCAATCGGTGATAATGCTTTGGGATCTCCAGCAGTTGACGTTTACTTCGTCACCGCCCATATGGAAGATGTCCGGTTGTTGGAAATCTTTCAACATATCCTTATAAAGTCCCTCAAGGACCTCGTACATTCTTTCGCTGGTAGGATTCAGCTGACCGCACGGCGGCTCTAAGCAATAGTCCTTCCAGGGCTCGGCTTTGAAGCAAACTGTTGCGTTGTCGCCCACCTATTCGTTATAACATATAATACTGTAGATTGAAGTAAAAAGATAAAGAAAAATGGTGTAAATTGAATTTGATAATGATACATTTATAATAGACTTTTAATTTCCTTAATTATTCTCAATCTGATTTAACTGTTTTCTAATTATTATTTACGAATGTCATATTCACTTGCTGATAACGAAGTTATTACTCACCCACTGCCAGCCTTCGCCAACGTGCGCGGGTGCATCAAACTCTGGCAGGACTCTGACACCGCGAACCAAGGCGTAATCGATGATCTCCCTAATCGTCTCGGGAGTATAGATCTTGGTCGGCGAGTAGCTACCATGCTTGGCGAAATCAGGCCATGTTTTGCTAACATAGGGGAAGCTCTGGGAATCGGTGATATGCCAGTGGAATGTGTTCAGCTTGGACATGGCCATACCGTCGATCGTCCGCAGAATCGTCTCCTTGTCGACATAGTTTCGGCTAGTGTCCAAAAGGATTCCGCGATAGGGATACTTCGGGCCATCTATAATATGTGTCTCGTTGGATATTCGAACTTGATTGCGCAAATCGTCGAAGACGATCAGTTGGCTGAGGGTCTCCAATGCGTGTCGAGCTCCGAAGTACGTGTTCGCCGTAATATAAGCTTCCACCTAGGAATTATTTTAATAAACTTTAATAAACTGCGAATGTGTACTAAAAGTAAATTTCGATGTGCAATTTTAATTAATTTTTTCAGATGTTTCTTTCAACGACATTTTAGATTTTTGTGTTATTTACGATTTATTTTCTATCACCAAAAAATAGTACGAGAGAAAGATAGAAAGAAAAATGATGACAAGAAAGTCTAAATAATAATAGGAGATACGTATAAAGAAGAGAATTAAATCCACTAACAATAAGTCCTAAAAGAAGAAAAGTAGAAGGAGATAAGATTAATAGAAAGGACAGCAAAAAAAGAGAAATATAAAGGAAAAGAAGCAGAGAATGAAAGCAAGGGAAAGAAAACGAGAAAATAATAAAGAAAATCAAACGTTCCAATCTATGCGGAGGAGAGAGAGGAGTAGCATGCAGGAGTAGAAATAACATAATAATACCCGAGAAAAAAATATGGATATAATATGGTCAGATGTAAGAATACATTATTAGATATGAAAAGATCTAAATAACATGTAATTTTATATGATTATATATAGATTAGATCCGCAAATTTTGCGCGATATGATCATATCTTCAATCTTTATATAATCACATTCGACTTGATCTTAGCTATGATCATATTGCACTAAATTTCGGATCTGATTATATATAAGTAATCATATAAAATTAAATGTTATTTAGATCTTTTCATATCTTATAATATATTGTTATAGCCACTTTTTTCTCGGGTATAAACGAATCAGATTAAAATAAATCTAGATTAAATCAATTGAAAAAAAATAATAAATACATGTACAATACGATAAAATTTAATACAAAATTTAAATGAAGTATATACTTCCCGTCACGTCGCGAAAAATTGTAATGGTCTTAATTTATCTGACTAACGCGTCACCAGTGAATTTGGGAGATCATATGATCATTAACGAGACACAGTCTGACCTAACGATGAAACACGATGAAACATGATACCTATATGTATATACGTACATGTACATACTATGCATCTGAATGTGTGAAAAAAACTCGTTTTTATGTCCAAGCACCTATAAATCAGCAATTGTGAAATATTACTATAAAATAATGAAATCGAAACTTAAGCCTCGTTAAAACTGAACAAGATATTAATATGTCGCCAACAGTGCATTCGACAAAATTTCATTTCGAATCCAAGAAATTGTGAAATACATTTGTCACATATATTTTGCCGGATACAAATTTAGTAATAAAAATAGTAGTTACTAAAATTTTGTCACACACATTTGTTTCCATACATTAATTGTTATCTACAATGTCGAGGAGAATGTTTCTTGGCCAGGACGAAGCTTTAAACGGCCAGTAACGCATAACATGAGTGACGTCTATGTGTCTTATTATTTTCAATGTATTTCGAAATAAAAGAGATTTTTTTATTCGACACATCTATAAAATGTTGATGAAAACAGTTCTATTCTCGAGATGTTTACATAAATACTATCTCGAATAATTTGGGGTCTCTCCACAAAAACCAGTTGTCAATTTAATGAGAATCCAAATGTAAATTTATTCAACATCGTGCTTCTCGCTCCTTGAACTTTCTTTGTTACAGCTTACCTGTCCGTCGACTGTAGCAACTTGGAGAGTGTACCTCTCGTCCGTTTCCAAGGTCAGTTTGGCATTGTCGAGATTGAGTCCTTCTCTAAAACGTATCACCAGCCCGGTTCCACCAGCGTTCAAAGTTAGGGAACCACCGAGCTTCTTCGCGTTCTCTTTCATACGAACCACGTTCGTCTGAAGCAGATTGCCCACCGCTGTCTGAGTGGAAATTCCGGCGAGTGTGATGCTCTCAGGATTAAGCTGCACCACGCTCTTGCCGATGGACATATGTCCTGTCGGCTTCGGCCACAGGGCACCACCTTGGCCGCATGACAATTGGCATACGCTAAGAGCGACCGGGTTGGTGTCCTCTTCCGTTATCAATACCTTCTTACATAGGCCGCCATCGCACTTGTAGTGCCAAAGAGAACTGCGATTTGAAGAGGAGAGATTGGCAATTTTTATCGGATGTTTATTGAAAAAAATCTTGATTTTATCTTAACATAATTTATCCTGTTTTTAATTTATTAGATTAAAATTTGTCATTATCTTTTTAATTACTGATTTTATTATCTGATCTTTGCGTAACTGCGTATTCTTTGACGTTGATTGAGAATCTCATTAATCGTTAAAGCATAACGATGCTTAATCGTAATTTTTAAGAAATACGAAACACCTTTGTATAACATATCACAAAATTGATTTTTTATAATAGATGAAAAAGCAGTCTATGTTGACGTAGGGTAAGTTTTCTGCATGCCTTTTTATTGGCGTAATTAATCGGCTAAGTGTTAAAACGTGAAAAAAATTAAATTAAATATTAAATATCAAATATCTTAAGGCGACATAAAAAAGAAGTTATTTGCAATTTATAACAAATTTCTATTATTTGGAGGCTACAAAACGTGTTATTAATTATATTTTCACGTATTATAGAATTGAGATAAAAATATTTTGCCAATAATCAGTAGAGCAACATGCAGCATATAAATTAATCATCTCTTTAATCGCGCTCTTTAATCCACTATCAATCTTATTGATATTCCTCCAATCCATATCTAAAAAAATGTACACCGTTTACAAACTACAGTGCGAGCATTTAAATCCCGTTGTGAGATTCTAATGTAGGTCTTTAAACCGCTAAATATGATAAAACGTTATAAAGGTCGGTCATACGTTCTCATTCGATATTCGTGAAACGAAACTCAAACTGATATCCGCAAAAGAATTGTAATGTAACGGTGCGTGACTCTATTCTGCTGTATATCTTAATCATTAATGTATCAACTAATGTATCAAAGAATAGTACTATATTTATATTTTATAATAGTACAAAAAAATATTTTTTTCTTTACTTTTAAGAGCAACGTAAAATAATTTCTGATTATCAAAGTTCGAAAAATAATCCTCGTGTCTGTAAAGAGAATCAGAAATGTTAAGAATTGCATATTTAAGACCTAAGTTCTTTTATAAATAACGTCAAAGAACATGTAATTTTTTTTTTAGATTTTTTCACCATAAAAGTGCATTAAAAAAATCTCTAACTTGTTAAATATTCTCCAAAGCTAATCGATGAAAAATCTAAAAAAAAACTTTACTCGCCGATATTATTTATAGAAAGATAAAAAAGAGCTTATGCTTTAAAGTTTATGCAATTCGTAACATTTCTGATTCTCCTTACAACCCGAAGCAAATACAGCAAATCATATTTTATCATTTTTTCATAAAGAAAAAATTTAAAGAACGTAAACATTCATTTAAAAGAACGTAATTTATAAATCATTTAAAAAACGCAAAATTATTTTACATTATGAATTCATAATATCTCATCCATACATATCAGAGATTTTATCAGAGGATAAAAATAATTCTTATCGTTAGCAAAAGAAGCAGCAGATTATCTCATTATTGTTCACTATTACGTCGTGAAAACATTTCTAAGCAGATGTTTATGATGTTGCTGCACTCAAACTCGAGAAGTGCGAGAAGGCACAGTAAGAACTCAATAATTTTCCGAATGTCTTTGAACTTCGGGAAGACGTCGCGTCGGGGCGACCGATGCGGTCTATTTCTCAATGAATCCCCACTTGTTGCTTTCACCGTGTACCAGGTGAATTGCCTTTCTATTTAAAACTAACATTCACGCAATCGGATAGCGCTCTATTACTTGACCGCTTTAAAATGTACGCACTTATTCCAGCACGTGAGAGAACAAATAATGACGATTAGAGAACGCAACGAGACAAGAGCGCTTGGTACTGAAAGTCGATCGGAAGGCTTTGGTATCTAAATTTCGATGAGTCAAAGTTTAGATACATCTAAAAAAAAAAAAAATCTAAATCTACCGAAATTATACCGGTATTTTTTGCTGGAGCATTACTTGGCACCAAAATGTGAAAATAATTTTATAACATATTTCTACGTGAAAATAGCGAAATAACACAATCGACGTATAAGCTGCATTTTCCTGTATCTAACATTAAATTCAGGACCAATCTGTCGGCTTGGTACTCACGTATACTCCTCGGCTTGATTGGCACCGTATTGGAGCGCGAGGACGACGATCAGTAGTGCGAGCATGCCGCTTAAAGTGATCGCCAGGGCTACTGTCGAACGCTCGATTGTCGTCCGTACTGTCCGTAGAATGATTTTATCCTTCGCCCAAAGATCGCATTCACGCTGTGCTTGCAAAGTAGAGGGGAAAAGCCGAGTGGGGCAAAACCGATATATGTCTTTAAAATGCGAAAAATGGCACGCGCGTGGAGCGCAAATTATTTCGCTGCGTCACACAGTGGGACTATATGAAAATTAAAATATAATATATATACACAACATAGATAAATAAAAAAATTTTAACCGAAAAATATCGGTCTTAAGAATATTGTGCCGCTTGATCGCAGATCTAACAAAATCTCGGTTCTCGTAACATCGATCTTCCGTCCTTTCCAAAATTATGTAATTAATTTTCAATAAATGATATTACTGTATTTTTGCGCGTTGGCATTTATCCGTGTGCATCTAAAATTAAATCCCTTTTTTTCAGTTTATCAAATTACTGTATTATTCAGCGGTAACATAATACATGTAACACGTGATATACGTAATTAAAAGTTATAATCAAATATGCACTCAGCTATTCGTCATTGACAAAATATTTGTGCGAGACAGAAGTGTCACCTCGATAATTCCGTACACCTTCAAAGTTGTACTAGTTAGCATTACACGAGTGCAGAGTTTGAGTTGCGATTATTGAGTACAGAGTAGAGATTTAACAGTTTTTTTTGTACTCAGGTAATACTCGGGTTATTACAGTCATTATAAAGCTGTTTATAAACACACCTGTTACATGACTAACCAAGCAAGTCGCACTTGAACTTGACATCGATTGATAATTATTATCGTCGTCATATCTTAGTATTCAACGAAGATTATACTCATCTCTTTTCTTTTAAATTCTGTAACAATTGATCTTTAAATTATTTTAATTAGGCCATGTTGATTAAATCGTGATATTTATGATATGCATATTTGCAAATTAATTGCAGCAACTTCTCAATTAACCCATTAATTGCAAAATAATTTCATATACACAATTTAAGCGTAATATACAAGTGTTTTAATACAAACAACAGCGTGACGCTATTCAATAAAATTTGCAAAATTTGTTGGTTTAATTAGTATAAGTTAATTGAGCCAAGAATACTGCAAAATATGAAAATTTCAATCTTTCTCTTGTAAGTTTATCCGATTTTTAGAAAGTTGCATATATTTACGCTTATAATATATATATATATATATATATATATATATATATATATATAACAGAAAGTAATATTAAGTATCGTGCATAGATAATATATTCTTTAATAAATATAGAAGTTATTGAAAACGTAAATTACATATCATGTGGCAGCGTTTGCAAAGAAACATTTTGTTTGTCATAATCTGGTCCTTTAAGTTACATTTATCCTATTCGTCTCCGCGAATCGCTCTGTATTTGGTCAGTTCGTTCGGGAAAACTCGATTCAATTCCACCAGCATGTTCGCCTTGAATTTCCTATAGGCATCGATTTTCCCTTTCACCTGTTCATTCTTCGTCAGAGCTTTCTCTATACAGTCTTTGGTGTATAACTGCGGATTTCTCCCTTGGTCGATATAACTGAAACAAGTGTTTAATGATAATAATAATTATTTCCTTAGCCGGATACTCATCGATTATGACATCAGTATTATAATGACTTACTCAAATACTTCCAGTGGCACATGGACGTCTTGTACCTGAGACTTTAGCTTGTCAATTTCCTGTAGGCCATTGACTAAGCCTTGACTGTAAGAAAAAACAAATCTGTCAATGTACTTTTAATAAATTTTACATTTCGAGTGATATAAGCTACAATTTACACAAATATGAAGTCTCAGCTGAGCAAACTGTAATTTATAGCAAAGAAGAAAAGCACATTAAAGATCTTCTAACCTGTCTAACTATCGGATCTCAAAAGTGCTCTTCTAACAAGTACATGCAACAATTTATTATTGCTCAATTGTGGCACGAAGTGGAACGCTCGTTGTCGTACAACCTCGCCGTCGCGAGGTTAATTTATAAAGGTAATGTCCTTATGTGTAAATATGCAAACGTATGCACGTTGCACGAATACTCACATCTTTTGATTCAGTACGTTTTGCCCTTGAGGTTGAAAATCGCTCACTATAATGCGTATTTGCCGTACGTTCTCGATAAAGAGCTCCAATTGAGCCTCCAAGTTCTCCAAGGCGGACGCCATTTTTGTTTACAATCGCTTCCGAGAGTTCCGAGTTTCCGACTGCGTTCAGTGCGTTCCAAAACCTCGCTCAAGCAAATCTTTATGGCCCGTATTCATAGTCTTAAGGTAATTCAAGCAATTCATAATTAAATATAAGATCCGACTTGAATACCGGCCTAGAACACATCATAGTGGGAGAGAAATTAATTATTAGTTTAACTTAATTATTTTTATCTTTTTTTTAACCATTAAAACTAAAAAAAAGATAAAAAATAAATTAAATCAAAATTGAAGATAATTCACGTTGATAGAAATGGACATTAGTATCGCTCAGTGTGGCTCAGTGATTCTTTCATACGATTGGTTCATACACTTCGATCCTGCGAAGAACCAAAAGCACGAACCAATCATATTAAAGAATTACTAAGCGCTTTAATAAATAAAATATTTAAAATATGTAAATAAAAAAATTTTTAGAAAAACAGAATTCTCTGAAGCTATGTATTACGTCAATTATATAATTCGTAAGTTTTATAATTTAGAATAGTTACTCGTACTTTTAGTTTAAAATATAATTTACACGTAAAATATAAATTAAAATTATTTATTGAAAATAAAAAGAAAGAAACAATTAAGCATTTTGTGCTCCGCGGGAAAGAGGGAAAGATAGCGGAACTAGCGGAAGACAGAAACTGCAAAACTGCAATGGCCGTCTAGAACACGTCGAGCTGACGTGTCGTGATATTTTTTCGTCTCCCGAGATTCTGTTTGCAGTGAAACATGATTACGTTTAAGCGCGACAAGAAGGAGGAGGAGGACGGTAATTATGAATTTAATATTACTATCTTTTTCTTAACGCGAACGTTGCTCGCGAACGTAAGTTAGAAGTCGCGCGCAGGTTATCGGGTCTGTCAGGTTGTCAGTCTCGGACAATTACAAGTAAACACATTTTCAGATGTCAGTGATGAGTATAGCTACGGAATGCATCGGATTTTGTAATAATTTCTTACGAACGTACATTTCCAAATGTTATATGCGTTATAAATCTTTAGAATTTAGCGTTGATTGACACTGCCGAGCGCTGACACATGTCTTTTCTGTCTGATCAAGGCGGTGGGAACCCGTTTCAAAACTTGGAAAAGACCACGGTTCTTCAGGAAGCACGTACATTCAACAACACGCCTGTCAATCCGAAAAAATGCGCCCACATTCTCACCAAGATTCTATATTTACTCAATCAGGGCGAACAGTTGGGTACAACGGAAGCCACCGAGGCTTTCTTCGCCATGACCAAGCTGTTTCAATCACGCGATGTCATCCTGAGACGGCTGGTCTATCTGGGCATCAAAGAATTGAGTTCCTTAGCCGAGGACGTGATTATAGTCACGTCCAGTCTAACGAAAGACATGACGGGGAAGGAGGATTTGTACAGGGCTGCTGCCATCCGGGCGCTCTGCACCATCACCGACGGCAGCATGCTGGCGGCCATCGAGCGCTACATGAAGCAAGCCATAGTCGATCGTTCGCCGGCCGTCTCCAGTGCTGCCCTTGTCTCGTCCTTGCATTTGACGAGCGTGTCGAGCGACGTCGCGAGAAGATGGGCAAACGAGGCGCAGGAGGCGTTGAATTCCAACAACGTGATGGTTCAGTATCACGCCCTGGGTGTCCTGTATCAAGCACGTAAGGCGGACAAGCATGCGGTGATCAAGCTGGTCGCCAAACTTATGAAGACGAGCCCGAAGAGCCCTTACGCGGCGTGCATGCTGATCAGAATGGCGTACAAATTATTGGACGAGGTGGACGAGGGCGAGGAACTGATAGGATTCATCGAGTCCTGTCTGCGTCACAAGTCCGAGATGGTGGTGTACGAGGCGGCGCACGCCTTGGTCAATCTTGGAAGAAGCGGCGCCAGAGAGATCGGACCTGCGATCAGTGTCCTGCAGCTCTTCTGCGGCTCGCCGAAGCCAGCACTTCGGTTCGCCGCAGTCAGGACTCTCAACAAAGTTGCGATGTCTCATCCGGCGGCGGTCACGGCTTGCAATCTTGATCTGGAAAATCTCATCACAGACTCGAACAGATCGATCGCCACTTTGGCGATAACCACTCTCTTAAAAACCGGAGCGGAGAGTTCTGTTGACCGTCTGATGAAGCAGATCGCCACCTTTGTGTCGGAAATTTCGGACGAATTTAAGGTCGTAGTGGTCCAAGCCATCAGGTAAATTTGATTTCTCGAATCACACAATAACATCGCTAATGTATATATTTTTCTTCTAAAATCTCTTTTTTTTTTCTCAGGGCTCTGTGTCAAAAGTTCCCTCGCAAGCACGCGGTTCTCATGAATTTCCTCTCGGCTATGCTGAGAGACGAGGGCGGGCTCGAGTACAAAGCGGCGATCGCCGACACCATTATAGCCGTGATGGAAGGGAACGCGGAAGCCAAGGAAGCGGGCCTCGCGCATCTCTGCGAATTCATCGAGGATTGCGAGCACATCTCCCTAGCCGTTCGCATTTTGCATTTACTTGGTCAGGAGGGACCCACGTCGAAACAACCGTCGAGATATATCCGCTTCATCTACAATCGCGTTATCCTCGAGAGTGCCAGCGTGCGAGCAGCGGCCGTTACTGCATTGGCACGTTTCGCTGCCGCCTGCCCGCCCTTGCTTCCAAACGTGTTGGTGCTGCTCTCACGTTGCCAGCTGGACTCGGACGATGAGGTACGCGATCGTGCGGCTTACTATTGCACGATTTTGCAACAGCAGAACGACCCGACTATATTGCCGCTGGTGCAGCCGCCCTTGCTGTCGGTACCGACACTGGAGAGGGCCTTGAAGAATTACATGCTGACATCCATGGAAGAATCGTTCGACATTTCTCAGGTATATTATTCCGATTTTTTGAGAAACTTTCTTATGAAAGCAAGACAATTACCCACTACTCATACATGTCTTTCTTTTTCATCAAATTTATGTTTATTTACATTGAATTACAGATACCGCCAGCTCAGACAGTAGAGGAACCAGCTCAAGTCGAAGTGCACACCACTATCAAGCAACCTCGTTTGACCAGAGAAGAAAGCTTTATGGAGAAATTATCGCAGATCCCGCATTTGGCCACGATCATCCGAGACACGTCGCTCCTCAAATCCTCGCCGGTGTTTGAATTAACGGAATCCGAAACGGAATATAATGTCAAATGCATCAAACACACATTCCCTGAATTTCTCATTTTACAGTTTGACTGTGTGAACACGCTCTCCGATCAACTTCTCGAAGATGTGGTAGTGGGCGTTGAGCCTCCTACAGGGTAAATATACTATCGACGCATTTATATATATATATGTTACTCCCTTACATTTTTTTATGACAATGTTGTAATGAGTCGTTTATTTCAGTTACTCCATTGTGTGCGTAGTACCATGTCCGCGATTACCTTACAATGAACCAGGAACCACCTACACAGTATTGAAATATCCGGAAGATGTACAAACGAGTGTCGTTACCATTCCTACGACGTTACGATTTATGGCAAGGGATTGCGATCCAACGACGGGAATACCAGACGCGGAACAAGGATACCACGACGAATATATGGTAAAAGATCACTTTTAATGATATAACAAAGTGACTTTCATATAAATACTTCTGCGAGCAATGCATTGATACAAAATTAATATAATTTCTTAAATCTCACGAGAGAAAAATACGCTTGTTTATAAATATTTATTATATCAACAAAATTATTATTCACAAAATTAACGTTATTTAAAATTTGTTTATAAATGCGATTTTTTTTAGTTGGAAGATTTGGAAGTGACTCTAGCTGATCAAGTACGTGGCGTTGGTAACAGAGGCATGGACTTTAATACCGCTTGGGATACATACGCTGCGAAAGGATTTGTCAAGCTAGAGGAAACATTCGCTTTGGGAGCTACAGTGACGTCTTTAGAAGGAGCGATTCAAAGTCTTACAGAATTCTTGGGCCTAGAAGCTGTGGAACGCAGTAATAAGGTTCAGAGCGGAGCGGCTGCTCACAATCTGCTCCTGAGTGGCGTCTTCCGAGGAGGAAAGGAAGTATTAGCACGTGCTAGACTAGCGCTGAATGGAACGCAAGTTTACGTGCAACTATCTGTTCTCTGTCAAGATCCAGACGTCGCTGAACTAATAGTCGCGTCCGTAGGATAGAGATCGCAGTGATACAATGTAAGAATTTTCGCAATAGGAAGAAATATATTCGCTGATTGCTGTAAAATAATTTTTATAATGTAAGATTATCGTTATATATACATGGAAATTATTAAAGAATACTGCTTGTATTTCTTTCCGTCGTTAATATATCATGTGACTTTTCTTTAATGTATTACAATAATCATTGAACAACCTTCTGAGAACTCCGAGAACTCACACAATAATAATAATAATGATAATGATGTTGCAATTTCAGTCAAATTTGATACTATCGTTTAGTTTGTTATCGATACAATCGAAAGGATCGTATATCTTTCTATATAAAAAATAAATTTATTTTCGCTAACATTTGTTTCAGCAGATTTCGCGAAACGATTCATAAACAAACAGGAAAACTGACAACAATTATATTAGACCTCTCTTTCACACATACATATATATATATATATATTCCTTTCTGTAGTTACAAATTCGTGCATTTGTACGAGAATTATAAAAGTGTTAAATAGTGGATAAATATATTGTCAGGTATTTACAGAGTATTTTCATGCACGATGCGATTGCCGTACTTGCCATTATCACTTGATTATCTGCGAACGTAAAAACTCAATATTGTAAAAAAAAGTGATCTCACATCAAAGACGATAAGATAGTCTTATTGTCTTTGATGTGAGATTACGAAGGTAAAGTGAATATTTTTTCTCAGATGTCCGTCAAGTTGAATGACACTATAAGGATAAATCATTACTTTTAGTAGCAGATTACCCCGTCTGTGTACGCCAATCGCGATAAGTAAATACTTACAAAAATCTAACACTACCATTACATCAGTTCTTTGTACGTTTCATACAATCAATTTTGTATATAATCCATTGTCTCATTGATTGTTAAAATGCTCTTATAAAGCTGCAATTATACTGCATTTTACTTTAAATGCGTATGCACATTAAATAAGTTAGACTAGCTGTTTGCGCGATTGACAATGTTATAAAATGAGGTGGAAATCATAGTTGCCTAAAGATTGCTCGCAAGCTGCTCCTTATGTCTTGAAATATTAAATATTAAATATTAGCCGTTAATATATATGCTGTTCGTAATTTGTTCTCGCCACTGAAAACGTATTTTAAAAGACGTGCGTTCGTTATTGGAATAGTACATAAACTCGCGCGATTCATAATTCTGGAAAGATCACGCAATTTTATACGTTTAGTCAACATTAACGTATTGACCTGTAACTGTAGCGGTTTGATGATACCTTCTTCTTCCCGAAAAATCTTCGTTCTCTTCGTTCAATTGAGCTGAACACGTTTCAACACCCGGATGCACTGGGGTTACTACTATCTGCTCGTAATCATAAACTTTCCTCCTATATAACGATAAAATACAAATTATCTTCTAAAGAAATCTTTACATTATAATTTTTTATAAATATTCTAACCAGTATTCTGTAATCAATATTCTATAATCGATTCCTAAGAAAAGAAAACAAGGGAACAAATCATTTTCTGTCCGATCTCTATAATTCTTGAATTTATCGTTTCAAGAGAATTGTAAAGTAAATAATTAAACTTACCCCATAATTCGAAGTAATGCAATCCGAAACCATTTAAAGAATTGGAATTCCGCAGAAATTCCAGGTTTTACAGCAGGGTTAGCGTGACCAACGTAACTCCAGACGAGAAATACGACGACGATATTAGCGATCGCATATCCCCAGTGTACAAGAAACATTATAACCAATTTTACAAGGCACTGTAATGTATGAATACGCGCGATATTAATCTTGCAACTAAATATGTCAGGAATATATTTCTTAAAAGTGATAAAAAATATATATCACTTTTATATATATGTGTATTTCGTTTATACATATAAAGTACGGATTCTTTCAATGAATAAATACTTACGCCCAATAAAGAAAACCATCTATTGCACAAAGGGCTGTACCAATTTCCTAACTTATTGTGTATGTGAACTTTTCGTTCCGGTGTACTGGAAACACTAGCATTGTCTTCGATGCTCGGCGACGAATCCACATATACGTTATTGTCGGAAATACTGTTGTTCCTCTGTAAACGTTAACAAACATTATTGGAAAAATCTTCAAAATAGACAATAATGCATGTTTCGGTAGATGTGATTTCTCACCATAAGATTTTTATGCCTTATTCTCTCAGGGAACAGACTGTCCAAATCATTGTCTGTGTCGGTTATTGAATTGTTCCTACTTGCGGAACCGTAATTGCGATCGAATGTTGGAGACTGCGTACGGAATCGTTGTTCCCGCGTATGCCGAAGATCAAATGTTTGCGCGAGGGCGAAGTATGCATAATCTAAGCAGGCATATGTCAACAGAAATGGCATCGTCACGATTGGAGCGAGTGTATTAATTTGCCCGGTAATGATGAAAGTCAGCGTTACTACAGCAACAACCAGCATAGCGTATATAGGTACTTTATTTGGTCCTCTCTGAAAATATAATAATTATTGCTAACAAATCGTTATGATATAAAATAGAATTGTAGGATTTTATGATATAAAAATATTATAATTTTCTTAACCGTAGAATAAGATAAATCTGATCCTCTGTTTCTTATTATCTAGTATGTCTAGAAGACAAATTAAAAAATAATATTCAAGGAATACTTACCCCTCTTTGCAAGCAGCTCATTCCTGGTATGACATTTTGACTGGCGATAGACTGGAGAACGCGAGGTGTGCCGTACATGGCACCCAAACAGCTACTGAATGACGATACATATAGACCAGCGAGTAACAACACCGAGATTGCCGATACCGTCGACGCTATTGTAAAGTTGGTGAGCAAAGCATTTCTGACGCAAGTTGCCGCAAGAGTCAACAAAAAGCACAGATACAAAAATGTTCTGCAAGTAACAAGTAAATTGTTTTAATGTAAAAATGAAAAAGTTTCTGAAATAACTCACACATTGGAAACAATTCATCTTACCCGGTTCCCAATGCCGCCAAAGTACCATTGGGAATGTCACTGGATGGATGCCGCAAATCTCCGCTCATGTTAATTCCAGCTAAGACACCGGTAACCGTTGGAAAGAATACACCGAACACAGTAAACCAGCTGTATCCATCCTGATAATCGGGGAAAGTGTTGTTTTTCAAATTTCCTGATAGCCAGCCTTCAAAACCAGAATCTGCACACATATAAATGATAATTTCAGTGCGTCTAATTTAAGATACAAAGACACTCGGCAACAATTTTATATCGTAAAATATATGATTTTATGACATGATTCGTTGTATCATCTCACCGATGTTGGTATGAGTGAAACTTCCGACCATGAAGTCAACTCCAGCGAGGAGTAGGATTAGAAGGAGAATAAATTGCAATTTTACAACCCACTTAACACCAGCCACGTTAATTACAGACAATAGCACAACGGCCGCGCACGCGAAGCCGCGTTGTGCCCATGCCGAATCCAAACCTACAAGACCGGCCATCGATTCCCCAAAACCTAAAACGTTTAGAGCACAACCCACCGCCTGAAATAAAATCCACAAACCGATTCTTGGAATCGCTGATAAAACGGTAGGATGAATTTGCTCTTTTCTACCTGTCCAAAGCAGTAGAGCAGTCCGATGGAGCCGCCGAATCTGGAACCCAGCACGTGCGATAACAAAAAGTACACTCCGCCACTTTCGACTCTACATCGTTCGCATATCCCAACAGCCGACAGTACTGTCACCAATGCGATACACACTGAAATCATTACAATACATAGTAATCTCCCTCGATATCTACATCTTTTGATAACATTGACTTAATTAAAAAGAGCAACAAGGTTTATATATTCTTAGAAAACTCTTTCTTTTTTCTCACTTTTGCAAAAGATATAATATCATCTCACTTATAAAAAGATGTATTTTATGAAAAATATATTTGACCGTGAGATTCTACTGTTTATTGACAATAATAATAAATATATTAGTTATATTAGTCTCATGATATTACCTGTACTAAAGATGATCAATACTGCATTCAAAACGCCTGCTTGACCGACTATCCAGCCAGACCTCAGAAATACAATTACACCAAATATGTTAATAAGGCAAGACGTAAAAACTCCATCCCAGGTGCCGAACAACACAGGTTGGGAGATGAAGAAGTTTGATTTCCACCAAGGATCTGAACTCTATGGAAAACACACAAGACGGATGTGATACCGTAATGCTGTATAACGAATCAGTGTTGCTTTGTACGCGATATTCCTTACATATTCCTGGGCGAACAGCTCGTTTGCACCGGCCTGATACATTTCCGGCCCAAGGGCATTGTTACCGTCCTCGCTATCCCTCTTTGCGTTATCCCGCGCCTCCTCCGGATCCCGTAAACCGTATCTAGCCCAATCGACGTCTCGTTGTACCCGAACGTCGCCGTTTGGAAGTCTGTTCTCCTCGTTCGACCCCATGTCTTCGCAGCGCAACAGCACGTGAGCCAGTATAAACAATATCAATTCCTGCTCGTTGATATCAGCCTCATTCAGGTGGAGATCGTTACGAAGCTTCTCTGTTCAGATAATAATGCCATACTTGTCAAAGGCTGAAATCTTAACGGTACTTTCTTCTCGCGGTGACAACGCGTACAGGTTAGAATATGAGATCCACGAAATAAGATATCTTGAACGCTGCACAATGAGCAGCGGAAAGTGTTCCGTGCATGAGAGCTATTTCATCGTCTTATCAAGTCGCTGAGCCCGCATTTTTTCGCGATAATTATCGTTTGCTGGTGACGTATGACCGTGTGAAGGGAAACATTTTGGTACTGCAACAGCTCACTGAACGGCTTTAAGTAGCAATAGAACGTGATTGGTTGGACGAGTTGGATCCACAGGTAAGAACCAATCATCAATGCAGTAAGGATCGAAGCAAAAGGCAGCCAATCAGACTAATCCTTCAAATCGCCATTTTCTACTTAACTGTAAGGCGCGAAATATGAACGATATAAAGGCGTTACCGGCCACTTCAATATTAGCACATTTTGATAATCAAAACCAAATGTCACTACAAAAGTGCTTTTGTCTATTAATAATTAATATTTAGGTATATATGTTAATATTTTATTCTTTTGATCTATTTTTCTATAATTAATTTGCATTACACGTACAAACACACACGTGCATTACACACATAATTCTTTTAAAGATAAAAATACCTTCAAAGAAGCTGCACGTTAAAATATACATTTATTCGTATCAATGAAATTGTAAACAAGATATGCTCAAGCGGAAATGTATTAACCTAAAAACACATTTATTCGCTGCGATTACTTTTTTTTTTTTAACAGCGTTACGGTAAAAAATTCGAAATCGTTTCAGTACATGTAGGATCGATGTTGTTAAGAGAAGATACTTTATCTACACTCCACTTGTGAAATCGTCGGTAATCTTGCGAGCAAGTTATCGTGTCCCGTTCGTTCACCCGCGTATCGCAGAAGCGTTCCGGTGAACCAACCAGTCTTTGACATAATATAACGATAATTCCACAATTACTTTCTATCTCTTTCACCAAGTTACAATATATCTATTTATGTACATATAAGTTATTTAAGCTCCCCGCCTCCACTTCTCCCCGTTACTGAACTTGGTCATTTCCCGACCACTGACGCCGCAGGTACCAATCCCCACACGACCATTTACGTTCTCCGGTGTCGCAAAGATGCTCTTCTTTATGACACCTTTTTTCGAAGACTGCGGAGAAACAAAAGCAATTAACAGAGCAATAAACAGAGACGTGCTTTAAATACATCTGCAGATAAATACGCATCATATAAATAAAGCTTGTCCTCACCTTGTTGGTAAATGCTAGCCACTTGTTCTTCTCCAATTCGCGTTCCTCCTCCAGTTCTTTGAATCGTTGTAATTTCCTCTGCTTCTTCTTCTTAAGATATTCCCTTTGCTTGTTTGGATCCGAACCCGCAACTGCAGCTGCTTGCATTTTTCTGTAAATAAATAAATCTATTATCTGGGTAAATAAATAGAGACAGCGCAAATTCATATATATGCTCAATAATTATAAAAAAAAACCGTTATTGATACTTGTATATTTTTATCAGCATATTCATCTCGATGAGTATAAATATTAACATATCTCTCGGTGTGTGTACCAATTACTTATATATAACTTATAAAAATTGGCACATTTATTTTTTTTTGGTAATGTCACAAAAGAGTAAAATAATATTATCTTGTTATATCATCTAGTTATTGCATAGAATACAATTAGAATTCCTCAATTTTTTTTACACATATAATTATACTATTAATTTGCTTTTCAAAGATACCAGAGAATCTGACAGTTCTTGTTACCTTTTCCTGGACCCCGACAATGCATATGAACCGCGTGACATCAAAGGATAAATGAACGAATAACGAGCATATTTCAGACAGAATACCGTACCAAGTTGATGGGGTTATTGTTGCCAATTCAGAAATAAGATAGGAGGAAAAATAAATGATTAGTAAATCGTCTCACATCCTTCACGTTTCTCAGACAAAATTGTATGCAAAATCGTAAGAAATATTTCATATTGGTTCACAATAATGCGTTATTGCGGACATCATAGATCAGAAATGACTTACTTTGATTTTTGATCTGCCCAATCTGATGCTGGCCTCTTAGCAACAGATTTTAGCTGACTAAGCATAACGACATCGGTATTCTTGTACTCATTGAACGTTATATTTGCTATTCCATCTTCGCTTATCGTGTCTATAGTTGCCTCATAATACCTGCAAAATTTTACAAAATATGTTACAAAAAGTTGTACGAGATACTTTATTTCTAAATAACTTACAGATACTTTACAGCACTTTTTTGAGTTGAACAAATCATCGTCAATATGTTGTTTTTTAACATAAATAGTCCATTCATAATTAATACTTGCTTTACCCTTAGCCTTTTCTGCCTTTTTAATGTTTTCTTTAATATTCAATGTTAAATAAAGTTTGGTAGTAAAAAATCTATTAAAATTCTCTTAAAACAAAACCGTCCAATATTAACTGAAAAAATAAATTTAAAAAATGAAACAAATAAATAATTTTTCCAAAATCCTTTTTGACTGATCATTGAAGTTTTCAATACCATCAATAATTTTATCAAAGCCTTTGTATCATATCACATAGACTTTAGGTTTTGATAATAATGACTTGGGGGTAAAATATTCAGCTTTTGGAACATTTAATGTATCGATATGACACTATCGGCTAACACTGTACGTGAATTCATCTGAATGTCATCTGTTGCACAATTCAAACGATATTCGATTCAATTGCAAACAGTGACTGCAGCCCATTTGATGCTACAGATGCTTTGAAGCGTGCTTCTTGTTCTTCTCTCTTCACTGAAAGAAAGGAGAAGAGGAATGCTTCGAAGCATCTGTAGCGTTAAGTGGACCGCAGCAGCCAGTATAACTCATAAACGGTACCCACTTGCCGTCCTCGCTCCAAGGTGCCATACACTGATCGCCGACTTTCCACTTATTGGCCAGAACTGCAAGCAAAATAGGATCTTTAGGGTCCATGCCATTGGCTTGTCTTTTTTCCTGCTGTTGTGACTTAATTAAATCATGTGTCAGCTTTATTACTTCCTTCAGATCGAACTTCAGTTTTATCAACTCCTCGTTATTCGGATCTGTCGTGAGAGCCGCTTCCACCTGAAGCAGAACAAAGCGTGTGAGGAGTCGCGGGGATGGTCGTGGATGAGTAAAAAAATGGTAAGCGAGACCGATCGATTGTCACGCGAGGTTAAGCAGAGGAATAAACAGGACTCACCTGCTGGAGCTGCAGCTTGTAATTCTGTAAGTCATCCATGCTGCCCGACTTGTTCCGGAGACGGATCGCTCAGAGCCACGTCGCGGCACGGAAACTCGGCCTCCTCTTTTCGCTCGATTTCAAAACTATCGCGGAAAATAAAGCGTTCTTTCCTCGTAATCACCTCGCAACAACTACAGGAACTACAGTCCCAGGTCAACTCCAGTTGACAAGCGCAAGATCGCTCGGCGAACAATGCTGCCAATTGTAGCGCGTCGCTGAGACTTCCTCGTAGATGACGACGATGTCGACGCGTTGCGAGGGACGGATACGGCGAACAAGAACGAAGAAACAATAACTTATTATCTGTCTGGAAGAATCCGGGATCACTGTTCAGATTTCAGACGCTTTCAGAACTATTCAGAAGGCGCCGATGTTGAAAAGTGCAAATACCATAAATCACAAAGTTGGCTGAAGTGATAACTCTGTTTGCAAGATGGCGGCACGATTGCGCTAATGGGCTATTTTTTTTTTTTTAAAGATGGTGGATGGTGAAGATTCACGTGATAAACAGAAGTCAAACAGAGATAATGTTCGCCAGTAAAATGTTTTTTAATTCGAGGTCTGCTTGATTTCCGTCATTAGTCATCATATCTTGTTGACAAATTTTTTTGTTATATTCTGCCAGCCTTCTGCTAACAGGTTTGTACACATATATCGGGTCCTACATCTTTGCGGCCGACAAAATTAATAGACACTTTGTAGAATTTGTTTTGATGAGAAAAATATTAACAACAATAACAACCAAGTATTTAAAGCAACAGAATCTTAAGTTGACATACAATTAGTGAAAGAAATATTAAATTAAAATGGTTCATTGTTTTTGTCTTTGGTAGCGGAGTAATTGTAATACTAACCTAAAAAAGATTTCGCACGTGGTCGTATACTAGGATCAACACGTGACATTTTCGTTGTACAAAAAAGTAAAATTTAATCAGAAACATAATTTACAATAAGCAAGGTGTACGTATTAATAATACGTTATTTAAGTAAATATTGTGACAAACGTTTCTACCTGTAATAAAGTCAGGCTTTATTTTTATGAATGTGTTTTTCAATGCCTTATCTAGCACATACATCATGGTTTATTAACTCTTTTTTATATCGTTTTTAAATTTTCGAATCTTAAACTATTATTATTTTCATAACTAAATTAATTTAAGCCATTAAACTTTTAACTTAATTTAGAAAAAATTTATTGATCACTACCAACTTGCTACCATCATTATGCACATAAATTTGTAACATTTTGCAGAGTCTCGTGTGGATCAAGCTTGGGATAAAATAAAAGTAATGGATATAGATGCGAATAAAGTTGTTTGCGAAGAGATGTCGATGAACATGTCAACGTCGGAAGAAAATAAAAATATACTTCCGGAAAAGATAGAATTATTAACGTCGCATCAATTGATGTGCGGTGAAGGATCGTTAAAAGAAGAATGTGAGGCAAAGCAGCTAGACGAACAATCATCCGAAGAAAAACACGAAGCGATGTTCTGTGATGAAAAATTAGAGAATGAAAGAGCAGTTATAATCGTCAATGAGAAGGAGATTCTAAATAGGGAAAATAAATGTGATAAGCCTAACGTATTGATAATGTTAGATACAGAGGAGACAGAAAGTACAATTAATAGCTGTGTTATATCTACTGATATTCCAAATATCAGTACTCAATCAACTTCAGAGGAAAACAATGAGACAAATGCACGTAAGTATCATACAACTGCTGAAAATATACCTGATATTAGACAAGCTTTACAAAAATCTTAAAAAATCATAGAATGTAATATGTCAAATGATACTAATATTTTGCAAAGCAAATATTTAAATAAAATGATTGATCAAGTTGCAGAAGTAAGCATTCGTAATAATGAGATACAAATAAGCAATCCATCACCACAAAAGCAAGGTAAGCACACACGCGTATTGGCTTATTAAATAAAAAATTTAATCTTGAGAAAAATATCCACTTCTCTATTTATAATACATAAAAAGTAAATTGCATTATAAATTAGAAGATATCGCATATATTATAAGTACATTTGAAATCCATATAAAAACGTTCATTGAAGTATTTTATGTGCATATATTTTGTTATATCTATTTGACAGAAGATAGGACGTCTTCTCTCAGTGTTATTGCTGCAGAATATGGAGACACTTCAGATTCAGATGTTGAAAAGATAGAGGCAGATACTACAACTAAAAATCAGCACACTATGCCAGAAATACAGACACAACATTTGCAGTGTTATCGTACAACTGAAGAAAATTTATCATGCGAAGAAAGCGATAGCGATGATGATTCTGATAGTAGTGCCGACAGCAGCAGCAGTAGCAGCAGTAGTGATAGTAGCAGTGACAGTGATTCAAATGATATTACAATTATTGACAAGTATGATTATTTTCTTATAAAAATATAATTATAACGCATATATTTAATTACTTTTTATGAATGGAAATAATAAACTTTTTATATTTAACTTTTTTAGAAAAAAAGGAAGCAAGGCAAACACAGCAAAGAAGGAAAAGCATACAGAAAATGAATTAGATGATCTTCCACCAATAGAAGACTTACAAATTAGCGTCCCCGAAGTTTTATGTAATCCATTTGGCAAGGTATAATTAATATAAGCTAATTATACATATGCAGACATTCAGAAAATTATAAGATAAATTAATATCATGTAACAGCAATACAGTAACTTCCAAATATCTATTTGAACATTTCAGATTGAAAAGATAGTGGAGCAATTAGTAATCGTAGAGCCAAAACCTGGTGAGCCTACACTTGATCTGGATACAATTTTATTCGTGAATAAAGGAACAAAAGCACTCGGTAAAATATTCGATGTGTATGGCCCCGTAGCCGAACCACATTACTGCGTTCGTTTCAATGACTCTAAGCACATACAGGACAATGGCATTAAAGTTGGCATGCAAGTTTATTATTGCCCATCGAATAAATCGTATACGTTTTTCGTATTCCTACAGGAGTTGAGAAAGTTGGTATTTGGACGAATCTAGCATACGTTACATGTGATTGTAACATATTCAAATACACGTTTTCTTTCAGGCTAAAAGCTTGCGACACGGCTGGCGATGACGAGTCTCCGGAATTTTCAGACGATGAAGAAGAACAAGCGTATTACGAAAAGTTGAAGCAGAAAAATAACAAAGATTGTTCTGACGGGAAAACTTCGCAGAAAAAACCACGTCAGACAGGTGAGTGTATTTCAAGTTGCTATACTTATTGTTATTACAAGTAACTAAATAATTATTGCTAATCGATTTCTAGAGTCTTCCTATACAACACCGGCCTGGCAATCGAATCACCCGTGGAACAGGAATAGAAATGTTCGACCTCAGAGATACAATCAGAGGAGACAGCGAAACTGGAGTGGTGGCAATCGTTTTAATTCTGCACGAACTCCTGGACCATACCCCTATCAAGAATCTTGGCAACAATATCCGTATCAAAATAATGCTCCTTGGCAGCCAGGTCCACAGAACATGCCTCCGATGTCTAACAGATCGTATGCAGGATACGGAACATATAACGCGCCACATTTGGCACAGGACGGTAATTTGAGCAACACGGACGGTATAAACCAATATTATCAAGGTACCTATCAGAATTTCCCAAGTTACAATATACAAAACAATTTCCAAAGTAACGGTGTACAAGATCAATATTATGAAGTCTCTTTTGGTGCTCCTCCGAGATTTAATCTTGCATCTCCACCCGTAGAGATGAATTGCCATCAATTCTCCAATACGCCATATCCGTACATGAATATGCCTTCTTATCCGACTCATGTGCAATCGTCACTGCAAATGGCAAATGCTAATGCATGTTGGCCTCCACCAGCTCCTCCATCATTAGATACGCCAAGTACGACGATTGAAGATCCAAATTCGTCTACATGACTTTATTCCTTCTTTTACGAATATATTTTATATTTTCATATCGAAAACATTTTTCATCTCCAATATCATGTAATTTATAATAGGATTATAAAACAAATATACTTGTGTGTAAGTAGTATTTTCTGATCTCATTTTTTTATGTATATTACATATAAGAATGTAATAAATGATTTATGAAATAATTATATCTACATTTTTTCAAACTTATTACTAATTTTGATTCTATTTCCTCTAACAGGAAACCTCGCAACCCGAACATTTTGATTTTAATGAAACTTTATACACATAAGGAGGTAAATAGACGTAATAGAATTTACAGTTTTTTAAGTTGCGATCTAAAAACTATGAGTGAAATTACTTTATATCAAGCAGTTTTTTATTTTTTTTGTTATATCTTGAATACTTTTTGATATATATTGAAAAAAGCAAAAAAATCATTTTATCATTATTATAACAGTGTCCTTAAAAAAAAAATGCTAAGGGAAAAAACAAAAAATTTGGACAACATCACACGGTGTTCCCAAGCGGTCACCCATCCAAGTACTAACCGTGCCCAACGTTGCTTGACTTCAGTGATCGGACGAGAACTGGTTTTTTCAACGTGGTATGGAAGTTGCCCGTTAAGCTGTGGTACTTGTCAACGATTTAAACTGCGTTATGATTTGGTTATTTTCAAAATTTTGATTTTTTATGTAGCAATAAATAAAAATTATAAGAATTATTAGATTACTGAGCACTCACTGAGGGTTAATTATGTAAAATGAGGTGAAAACACAAAATTGAACAGATTCACTAAATTTCGACCAATGAAATCGTAGATACCCTAGGGAATTTTCAGCCATTGGCCGCGTTCAGCAGAACAACTGTCGTCGTCTTCTCAACGCTCTGCGTTGATTTGTTAGTTCTAAAAGTAAGAGCCAATCACGTTCGATTGCCGCTAAACGGTTTGTTCTGCCGAACGCGCCTATTCTTTATACAGACCGCGTTTAGCAGATACAACTGTTGAGTTCGTCTTATCAACACTCTGCGTTGATTGGTTGGTTCTAAAAGTAAGAGCCAATCGCGTTCGACTGCTACTCAGCGGCTTGGTCTGCTGAACGCGCTCATTTCTTTATAGGAGTAGAAGTCTATAGTCTTCGTTTGTTTATGCAACCTTGAATAAACGAATGCCTCATGCACCGCACCTGTTGTTTTTTAAGTTTGCGATTCAAGGAATCGCAAATGCGGAATTACTTAATTGCGGGGATACGTAACGTCACAAAGATCTAAGTCTTTCTTCCAGTTGTCCAGTATGTTTTGACAAAGTATGCTATTAGCGCACGAATGCGTCTGTTATTATGTAACGCTATACTGTTAACGCAGAATCTCGCGATGACAGTCTAACCAAGTCTAACGAGAGCTCCACGGTGTACACAGTAATTTGTGCTCCGTCCTAGGGTTAGAAAAGTTTCAATCAATGGCGTACCCGGTAATTCTAAATAACAATTCTAACAATTGCACCTGCGACAGCTGATATCACGCTTTATCCAGTCGTTTTGGTTTATTATGAATGGCCCTGTATCGCCTGACGAGTGCACGTCAATTTGATAGCTCTCGCATGTAGACAAGAAGCCTCCTCGTTTCGTCACAGCTTGTCTGAATTTGTGATTCTCTCTGCAATTATATTTATCTTGTCCGTTTCTTCAAGAGCGCGATGTACGGCTCCACCGATTCAGGATCAGGGGTAAATCCAGAGGTTCAACGATGGTTCGCCACAGTGGACAAGGATGGGAGTGGACGGATAACGGCTGCAGAATTGCAGTCGGCGTTGGCCAACGGTCAAGGGGGTACCTTCTCTGACACAGCGTGCAAGTTAATGATTGGTACGTATGCGGGTTTCGTACATATATTTAGTGAACAAATAGAAGAGAGAACAATGTATCGGAGCTTTAGCTCTCTTCGGCGAGCTGTAAACATATCAACGAATTCTATTTCTTTCCACAGGTATGTTCGACAAGGAGAAGAATGGCACTATAAACGTAACGGAATTCCAAGCTCTTTACAATTACATAAACTCTTGGCTCGGTGTATTTCGTGGCTTTGACCACGATAATTCGGGTAGCATACAAGAGAATGAGTTAAACGCAGCCCTAACACAAATGGGCTATAGGCTTAGTCCGGATTTCATTCAATTCCTTATAAAAAAGAGCGATCTACGTGGTCATCAGTCCATTACTGTGGACCAGTTCATAGTATTGTGTGTTCAGATACAGAGGTTTACAGGTAATTAGAAATGTTTACATAAAAGGAAGAAAATTTTATGATAATTCTGATATTGTTTATTAATTTAATTAGAGACCTAACTATAAACATCTGTACGTGCAATAGTTTGATAATATTTAGCATGATTTAAGCATGTTCGTTTAACAAAGATACGTTGTATGTTACAGAGGCATTTAGGACAAGAGACACAGATCAAACTGGATCGATTACTATTGGATTTGAAGATTTTCTGGGAGTAGCTCTTAGCTGCAGCATATAACGTCTTCATATTTTAATAACAATACAGTTAAAATATTTTCTACACTTGTGTATGCTGAAAAGCAATTATTGTTTAACTTACGCTACAAGTGCTCTATTTTTCTATCTTAGAAGATAATGTAAAACGTGGGTTTTTAGACATGTAGGATCTTAGGCTTATGAGAGATTTGTTTGTTCTTGGAAATTTTTATTTTCTTCGCCACTAAGCTTTTAGTGAGGTTTATTTATGTTTAGTTATAATGATAAAATTAAGATTTTTAATAAATATGAGAAGCACTAAAATTATGCTTCCTGCCGATTCCGCTGATCAATACCTCAAATGACAATGAAACGCGTTTATTTTACATTCATTCACGTTAATAAGATTTAACGTAGTGTTGAAATAAAAATGAATATCATATGACAATGCAAGATGCATAAAGCAACATGTCCCATAATTTTGTATATTTAATGTGTCATATACGATAAAAGCGAAATGACTGGTGTATAATATTTTTACCATTTAAGTAACACTTGTACTATCCAATTTTTTTTACATTTGCCATACGTGTTTACAATTGCCATCTTTAGAAAGATTTACTAGTACAAAGTTTATAAATTTACTGTCTTTATGTGGAGATAAAGATAGCTTTACCTGAAATACACATGAAAGTAAATAGGACTTGACATAAAGGGTTTTCTTTACACAGATACTTTGAGAATAATGCAGATATTTCAAATTTACGAGACTATAAAATTGTATTACTCCACATGAAACTGGCTCGGGAAAGAATACAAGAATTTGAACGATTAAAAAAAGCACGACACCTTCTGGATGCTATTTCATTAATAAACAATTTACTTGCCGATGGTTCTGAAATAGAAATATTATCGCTTGCTGGGATAATAGTGAGGAGATTAAATAAATTAGGCGTGACAAATGTAACGGCAGATAAGGAAAACGGTATGTAGGCATTTGATATACGTGAGTTTTCCTCATATATGATATGTGAGTTTTCTTTATGAAACATGTGTATTATATTCTGTTGCAGAATACTGGTATAAAGATACGAGATTATCGGCTTTGAGACTCACACATAGTGGCATTTATCACTGTTGCACATTTTGTTCTAGTGGTGGAAAAAAGGAAATGACTTGTGGCTGTAGAGGCACCATGCCTGGTAAGGATTAATTTCACAAGTTAAATCTTTAAATAGCAACTATGGAATATGTATCGCGCGAACCAAAAAGATAAAAGAAATTAATTTAAAAGTAATTTGTGTAATACTAATTCTGTAATATTGTAAAATGTTTAAAATTTATAAAAGAGCAATTTTTAGTAGTTGCTATTCAAAACTTAGATAAGTAAAAACAGAAATAAGAAAAATAATAAATTAGTTAATTTTTGTAAAGGTGGATACAAAGGCTGTGGCCATGGACATATCGGACATCCGGGCTTTAATCATTGGTCTTGCTGTGGATCTATATTACGTAATGGACGTTGCTTAATTATGCGAAAAACCATGCATCAATTTATATTGTGAGTCTTAATAAATTAATAAATATATCTTCCGTATAAGAATATAATTTAGATATTCCAGTTTCCATAAAGATAAATACTTTAATTATGCCTTACATCTTTAATTAAGAGAGAAAAATATTATTTCAAGAGATTTGAGTATATTTATATGTGCTCAAACCGATTAAAACGTTTTGTAATTTTTGAAACAATTTTATCCAACTGTAGTTTTTGAATTAGAAACTTTCATTCTTGTTAAAAATTATATAAAATTTTACTTCAAGCAAAAAGAAGTAATCTTATATATATCTAATTGTAAGTCCTATATATTGCAACAGCTTATATTGATAATTGAAATTAATAGCTTTAAAATACTGAAATGCTTGAGCAAAGTAACAATGGTTATTGAGCGTCTCTATTAAAAAAAAAGAGAAGAGTAGAGAAAAGATGAAATTTATAACATACTTTTGTATCTTACCTTAATTTTATCGCTGTAGGTGACATGTAACAATATATAAACAAATATTTTTTTATTATATCTCATATATATAAAATGTTTTCGACACATTTACACTATATGATATATACATAATATATACAAAAATTAAATGATCTTTACATTTGTATTATTTATTAATACAAATAATAGTTTACATTGTTTACAAATGTTCGCAATATATTTAACTAAACTTAAATGTAACACATTTTAAGTCACACATCAGTCGCAATATAATTTGTTTCTTACTTAATATTTGATTAACCAAATATGTTGAAATCGCATAATAATTTTCATAATTCTAATCAGTCTGTGTTGTCAGTCGAAGCTTTGGAATGTATGCTTTATACCTCAAATGACAATATATACCCTTTTCGCTCATTATTATCATATTAATCACATGACAATTGTTACAGTGTATTAATATTAACAAAAATTAGCTTTTGCACAGTCTTATACACATCAAAGTGTTGCATTTTTATCATACAATTAAAATTAAAAAAATTTAAAGTTTTTAAACATTGTAGTGAGTTCTGTATATGAACTCGCATTTGCACAATGTAGTTTATATAATTTCCAATTTTATATTATATAAAATTACAGTTGGACATACCTGCAAATCTTGGCTATATGGTGTGCTTCTTCAAGATCGTTAGTTGAAAATACGTCCTGGTTGTATTGAATCAATAGATTATTTAGGTACATTTTCGCTTTTTGTAACATCTTTGCTAAGTATGTACCAGCTCTTCTTCCCACTCCAACAGCGTCTTCGCTAGCATGACCTCTGTGCTGCATACTCCACATGCATTCTTTGCACGTTACCTGAAAATTTTGTATTATTGCTTACTTATTAATTCCATAAAATGACAAGTCGTTCAGTATAATAAATCACAAAAAAATTCGTACGACTTAAATTGAAAGTATCAATCGTTTGACTTCAATTTCATATTAACAAGTATCGTATATCTAAGAAGAAAGAATTTTTGTAAACCTGCTGACACGCGACGCAATAAAATCTTAAAGCGTGCGTCGGATGTGTTTGGCATAAAATTGTCCGTCGTACTTTAGTAGCCTCCCACAGTGGTCTCATTAAATGTTTAATTATTCTCGCTTCCGCAAGGTTTTGCTGCTCGTGTTGCCTGCCGCACTCCGAGCAAAAATTGCGTAAACACGTCGAACATTGTATGAACGCCTTAAAAAAAAATCGACATGCGGAGAAGTCTATAAAACATTTCTACCTTGCGACGAGATAAAATTTTAAAAGAAATACGATAATAATATTTAGATCGTCACCAGAACTTCGCCTGTGCAGGCGTCGCAAAGTACTCTATTGACCAGTTTACGTCGCACGGTGTCCATAACTAAACGATGCTGCAAGGGATAATGCGGCGGCGGTACGGCGGAATTAGCATTCGGCAAGTGCGAGTCGCATAACGGACATGTTTCGTAATAAATGTCGGATTGCGCGTACATTCGTCCGTCTCGTATTTCGTTCTTTGAAGAAACATTCGGAGCTGCAAGCATACAACAATTCTATCAATGCCTCTTCATAAATCAAAAGTGTGATTATACGTGACATTATTAGTAACGTTAAAGATATTGAATTGCGTTTTCCTTCCTTAAGATTCTTCCTCTCGCCACTTACGTTTGCTCATCAATTCGTAAACGCAAGATAAACATATAGGATGCAAGCAAGGAAGGAGTCTAGGCTCCACCATTCTCTGCCCACATCTGGGACATTGGAAGTCCGCATCGTGCGGCAATCTATCTGAAAACTCCATCGGCTCCCTCGAGTCGTCTTCCTCGATTTCGCTGGCCATTTTTCTGCGAATGAAGACGGGGGAAAGCTGGTGTGCAAAGACGTTCGTATTCGACCAAGGAGCGCGCCTTTTTCTGGAATCCTCGTTGCTGAAAATATTTAAAGTTATTTACATGACATACATCTTAAGAATTAGTAAAGGTCTTAAAAATTATATTCAACTGTACGATCAATATTTTACATAATATAATAAATTATAATTTTAACTCTCGATTGAAACCTAGCATTTATAAATTTAAAGGTATCGCTTACCGTTTGTTCGTATATGCCATCGTCATTGGTTCGACGTGAACGAAATCTTCAGTATTTATACCTTTGCTCTTGCCCTCGACCAAATTTGCGTAAATATGATCGCAGCTTCCGAGCTCGCTGTCTGTCGCAACCCCGCGACCGCAGCAACCTTTCGAAGAGCGTTTTGCCGAACAATTTACGAAATCCATCGATTACAACACGCTAAAACAATACAGTTAATGAGAATACAACAAATATAATTTTCTCTGACCGATGTCAAAATCACAATAATGACTCACCAAGAAATTAAGGTATAATTAACGGGAGATACGAAAGAATGAGTCAACGGGCCGCACGAAGGCTTCCTACTACTTAAAACTCGTTCTCCTACAGCGTAGCTGGTTAAAAATAACTTTAAAACATAGGCTATGAGCCAAGCGCATGTGGAACTTGCCTTGAAATGCAAAATCTTTAGCTACTGGTCGCGAAGTTGTAGATATCTTTAATATCTAGGTTGTCAATTCGATGAAAAATCTCTCATTCTCCATAAACGTTTGCTAGCGCAAAATGTAAATAAAAATACTTAATATTTATATGCAACAATTTAGTGGAAAGAGGTTTTCTCCTATAATTAATTTTCTCAAGAGATAGGATTTAAAAAAAAATTATTAGTAAACAAAAATTTATGATATTTATAAATCAGAAGTAACACATAAATATTAAGCGACAATTATTTATTATTAATCAAGTGGGTGCAAGAAATAAGTAATAAAATATGTATAGATAGTAAATTTTATTTAGTATTCATGTAGTGTAAAAATAAGATTGACAATGTATATATTAAAGAGTAAGCAGTACATACATATAAACGACATACAGAATCGATACAGTGCTTACTACATATCGATTTTAATTGAAATAGCTTCTAAGGCCATAATAATATTCAGATAAGCTCTCAAACAGTTTGACGATCATTTGACGCTGCATCTTGTCGCGTCAGCAATCGTTGACGTAGTTAAAAATCACATAATAGATACAGAATAGAATTGATTAATAATACTTAAGACGAATTAAGTAACATGACGTAGAGTATGAGGTTATTATTATTATCGCATATCTATAAACAAGACTTAAACTCCATCTATGTTCTTAGAGAACATTGTTATCAATACCGATTCTGGAGGCGATCATTCCTTATAAGGTACATAAGTCAACTTATACCTTCGTGACTAGTATTTCAGGTTTGGCCAAAACTTACACAACTGTGCGCTATTTATCATTGCACTCTAATATCGTTGCATTTCTGAAATTTAGTAAAATCTAGATACATCTTGATTACGTTTTATCGTATGATAAATCGTAAATTTATTGTAGTTATTATTTAGTAATTTATTATAGTGTTACCTCAAGTCTTTACTCGAGAACCGACTTTGATAAATCCATTCCGAGATTTACCGTTTCTTATATGGCTACCGCTTTTACTCTTACGATGCTCAAACAGAACATCGTCAGAATCGGTGTCCGATTCCGATAACACCATCTTGTTGTGAGTTGAAACTGCAACATGAAGATTATTATAACTTAATAACTAGAATAAAGAATTTTTTAATACATTCAAATATTTTCGGATACAATATTTTAAGAGGATATTTCCCAAAATTGTTCGAGCTAAAAAAAGTGGTCATAAAAATTTACAAATAGTGAAATTTCTCTCATGGTCTTTCATCTGAATTAAGAACAACATTAAGACGTTAACATTAAGAAGAAAAATTCTACCACTTAGACAATGTACAATGATAATGACAAAATTCAAAATATTGATTATTATTGTCATCTAACAATAAGTAATAAGAGTTACGTACATGCACTGCTATCATCTTCTGGCTCTGGTTGCAGCAAAGAATAACGCGGTGGTTTCTTCTTAGGCCGAAGCAAACGTCTTTTACCGACGCATATCCTTTGACACAAGCAAACAAGACCCCAAATAAATCCAACCCAACATACAACTAATGATAGCAATGCTATTATCACATATAGGATGCTCCAATCTGAAAAGAGAAAAAATGAAAATAAAAGTAAGTTTGAAAGATATAATTATAATATGTATGTATATTGGAACACTATATGTATATCAAGTAATACGGAATGGAAAGAATAATTTAACGTACCACAATTAGAATCTCCATTACCAAAATATTTTTGTATTAAATTCTGCATCCAAAATGCTTCGCATAAGCATTGTCTTGTCTCTTGATCGCATACACCGTGGCCTAGATAGAAACATTAACTCCATGAATTATGAATAGAAACTTACGAACTTTGAGATATATTTATCACTTTTCAATATTATATACCTGAACAATTATTTTGGCATATAGCGGTGTCTATATTGGCAACCGACAGCTGTAAGAGACCGGAATCTTGTAATAACTTTTCTCTCAATCTTTTGACTACTTCTGGACCCGGCAATGCTGTTGTTCCCTTCTTTTTCACGTAAAACATTAAGACGGCCTTTCCAGTGTGCGGTTCTGCCCTCAAACTTCGCACGACGATTGAAGCTTCATCTCGCAATAACATTTGCAGTTTTACTACTAACGAATTCTTTTGCGAAACAGTTAACATGTTAGCTCCAATGTTTAGTGTTAGTTCTACCAAATGCAACAATTGCGGATCTACAGAAAGAAATAGAAAGTGGATTTTTTTTTTAAGTTGTCGCATTATAAAATAATATATTTTTTCTAGTCTGTACTAACCGGGTTTTACAATTACTGATACGGTGTCTTCACTACTCAGACCTTGATCATCCGTTACTTTTAATCGAAAAACATAACGACCAGGAACTATATCTGTTAGCTATAAAAAAGGCAACATAGACGTATGCATTTATGTGTATGCGTATGACGTACATTGTGTAAGCAGGTATGTGAGATGAGTCTCAAACAATAAATTAAGCAACAAAACATTTAACACTATTATACAACTATACGAATGGAGTTCGCATTTTAACTTTACCATTAAGACTGGTGATTTGTCCGTATCTTGAACTATAGCGCCAATCGCAAGACTAGATTGATCTCTGGTCCACAGCCATTGTCCTATCCTTAAATCATCACTCGATTGTGATCCATTGATGATTAACGCGCTGATTGGCGCCGTCACAACTTGATCGCCACCAGCGTTCGCTTTGGGAGGCGCATTTTTATCTAGGATAAATAAGATTTTTTATAATACACATCGCAATATAATATACAATTGTAAGGCAGTACTTACTTTGTGTTACCTTCACATTGACCGTATCTGAATCCGCATTCCTGTTATCATCGACAACAGTCAATTTGAATGCATAATCACCTTTGGTTAATTTTGTAATATTTGTAACAGATTCGTTAACTGTGGCAAATTCAGCATTATTAGGCCCACTGTAATGCCAACAATATATTTATAAATTCAAGATACACGACATGTACTGTAAGATGCAATTTAATTAGATACATTGTACCTTACTTGCTCCCAATGATACAAAACAATCTTTATGTCATCCTTACTTCTTGTACCATTTAGAACAGCGCGAGTTGTCGGTAATGCTATGCTTATATCGTCACCAGCGTCGGCTACAACAAAATTAATCAATCGAGATTGTATCAAGAAGCGGTACACTTTAAACTGTAAACATTACCGCGCAGTGTCAAAGAGAATTTGATACATTTGAGATATTGACGACAAAAATGACATTTACCCTTTGGCGGTTTATTCGTTGGAGGTTTTACAAACACATGCACTTCCGCTGTGGAAGATTGCTCAGAATCATCCGTTACTTTAAGTACAAATGTATACATTCCTTCCTCGAGATTTGACAATTGTAAGTAAGGTGTTCTTGTGTTCTGCATATCTACCGCTTTATTCTGATCGGATGGACTTTTGGTCCACTCCCAATTCGCTATTCCTCGATCGTCGGTACTTAAATTACCGTTAAGCGTCAATGTATTTTGAGGTAGATAAATGATAACGTCTTGGCCTGCGTTTGCACTGGGGGGATAGTCGATCACTTTTAAGACAGTTATATTGGCACTTGTCGAATTTGTAACGTGATTTGAATCTTCAACTGTTAATCTGCAAAAAATATATATATATGATTTAGATAAAGAGATTTATATAAAAACTTTCCGATATTTTTATCTAAGGAAGGTGTAGAAAAGTAAAAACTTGTCGAGCTATCTATATACATAAATATTATATAATTGTATTCGCCATAATATAACACAGTTAGAGTACTAACTTGAAAGTGTAATTGCCGGCAATAAGATTATCTAATTGAAGCGTGGGTGTATCCACAAGGTTGGGTTGATATCCAATCGGGCCTTGCTGCAGTTCCCAATGATAAGAGATGACGCGATCATCATCCTTACTATTCGAGCCGTCCAAAACCGCGCCTGTATTCGGTAGCTTCACAATTTGCGATGCGGGCGTAATTATGGCAATTGGTGCTTGGTTGATACGTTTGGCTAAAATAAAAATTCAGATTAAAAAAAAGACCGATCTCCGACAAAAAGAAAAAAAGAAAGTTTTCAAAGCGCTTACGAGGTAAAACGCTGACATTGGCATAAGCTTCTCCATAAGCGTTCGGACTGCTTACAGCTACCTTAAACGTGTACAAGCCTTCCGACAAATTACTTAATTTGACAGTAACACGATTCTGATCTGTCATCGTTCCGGTATGTCCCTCCGGTTGACTGAGCAGACTCCAAGCGTAATTATAATGTTGATTGCCCAGTTCAGCGGGGACGGTATACGCGGACAGCGTGACTTCGTTTTCCGGTAATCTCACTTCTTTAGAAACTGCCGAGACTAACAATTGTTTCATAGTCGGCTTAATCGACGTGCTGATATCTTTCACAGTTGGAACTTTCGCTTGTTGCGTTACACCGAGCTCAGCGTCTATTTCATCTATACAAGTGCCTGCAGCAATAACAGATATAGATCACATTAAAAGCATAATTGATTTCAAATCCACTATTTTTTTAAAGAATAGAGTGGATGTGATGTTAAAGAAAATTATGTAATAAATATTTCAGATACATATAAAATTCAAAAATATTTATTCTGGCAAATTGCACAAATAAATAACCAAAACGTGTTATACATACCAGCAATATTTCGCTTGAAACTTGAAGGACATTGACAAGTTCCGACATCAGTGTCCCCATGTTTTACACAAATCTCGTTATCTAGGCAACCTGACTGATCCATACAATTGATTATGATTTTGTTTGGTTCATTGAACAATACTTGATCTTGCTCTGTGCCATCTGTGCTCAATGTCCTAAATGCATACAATTAAGGGAAGAGATCATTTTGCTATTACTTGTTGCTCGAAATGGAAATATTTTTTTTTAAATAAATACTAGAAATTTATCTAATCTTGAATTGAACCTACCCAACGTTGTCCTCATTGACTTGATCCAAGAAATCGCTCCATACTTTATTACCCTCCACGGGTCTGACCAATACCATGCTCGGTGGATTATCGTTTGCCAATTCGGGCCTGTACAGCGGCACGCACACCATGGAGTTCTCGCACTCTACATGATAGCACGTACCGTTGTGCGTAAACGCTACGTTACACAAGGGTTTCTTGCAGCAGGCCATAACGCAGTCCTGCATGTTGGACAAGTGAATTTGTTGCGTGTAAGTCCCGCCGGTCAAATTTCCACGGGGCAAGTAACTCGTGAACACCCGCGGATATAGGTCCGAGCACAGCAGTTGCACATTCCACAGTCTGTCCAAATCGCAGATGCAGCTTTCGAATAGTAATATGTATAATCCCAGGTGATATATTCCAATCATGTTAACTGTGAGAACAGAACTCGAAGTCACACGCAGGCATCTTTTTTTTAGTTTACAACACATTGATAGAAACATTTTTTTTCCCCGAATGTAATTATGTTAAATAACGCGTGGTGTAATTAAAAAATAACATGGAAATCATATAAACCTAGTATATTATGCGAGCCACACGCACATAAAAACAGGTAAGATGATATTTGACAGTTTCAATTATACGTAATAAAAATATATAACTAACTAGATAAAACATAATCTCGATTTAGGACATAATAGAAAATAATTTCAACACATATCGACGACACAAATATAAATTAGAATTCTAATAAAAATATAATTGTGTGTCACATGGAATGTCTCACGATACATCATAAAATATATATTTTAAATAACTAGATAAAACATAATCTCAATTTATGACATAATAAAAAATAATTTCAATACATATCGATGACACAAATATAAATTATAATTCTAATAAAAATATAATTGTGTGTCACATGGAATGTCTCACGATACATCATAAAATATATATTTTAAATAACTAGATAAAACATAATCTCAATTTATGACATAATAGAAAATAATTTCAACACATCGACGACAGAAATATAAATTATAATTCTAATAAAAATATAATTATGTGTCACATGGAATGTTTCACGATACATCATAAAATATATATTTTAACTAACTAGATAAAAAATCTCAATTTATGACATAATAGAAAATAATTTCAATACATATCGATGACACAAATATAAATTCTAATTCTAATAAAAATATAATCATGTGTCACATGGAATGTCTCACGATACATCATAAAATATATATTTTAACTAACTAGATAAAAAATCTCAATTTATGACATAATAGAAAATAATTTCAACACATATCGACGACACAAATATAAATTATAATTCTAATAAAAATATAATTATGTGTCACATGGAATGTCTCACGATATATCATAAAATATATATTTTAACTAACTAGATAAAAAATCTCAATTTATGACATAATAGAAAATAATTTCAACACATCGACGACACAAATATAAATTATAATTCTAATAAAAATATAATCATGTGTCACATTGAATGTCTCACGATACATCATAAAATATATATTTTAAATAACTAGATAAAACATAATCTCAATTTATGACATAATAAAAAATAATTTCAATACATATCGACGACACAAATATAAATTATAATTCTAATAAAAATATAATTATGTGTCACATGGAATGTCTCACGATATATCATAAAATATATATTTTAAATAACTAGATAAAACATAATCTCAATTTATGACATAATAGAAAATAATTTCAACACATATCGACGACACAAATATAAATTATAATTCTAATAAAAATATAATTATGTGTCACATGG